CAATTTCTGACTTCAAGTTTTTATATAGCAAATAGGTTTAGTTGGGATAAATGGATCAAAACAGCAGAAGTTACTAAATTTTAGCTGGTATTCTAAAATTACAAGGATAAAAATTCAGACAATGTTTTTAAGGCAACAAATGGAATCAGGTTGAAAACATGGAGCGCAAACAAAAAAATTAAAGTTTTAAAACCTGCAGGGCTTCTAAACTACTATTTTCTATTAATTTTTCTTTCAAGTAATGTCCAAGGCATGCTACTGTGTAGAATTTGCACAAGGGATTTGGCATTTAGGGTTTTTCCCCCTCCTCCTGGAATGGAATCTGGAAAGCAAACCAAGACGGAATAACTTGGTTTCCATTAATGTGAAGGCAAATATAAGTAAGAAAACATGTGGACTTCTAGCTGGCAAAACTAAATGTCAGGCTAGGTAACCATCTCTCTTAGCAAATGTGTGTGTGTGCCTTCAGAAGAGACTCATTCTTGACAAGTTACTGAGATCTCTCAGTAGTTTGTCTGACACCTACAAGGACATCAGCTATGTTTAGAAATGAGAACATCACACTTGAAAGCCGTGATCTAAATTACAGACTCCTTTAAAAATGATATGTCTATAAAGAATAATCAGTTGGTGTTCATCTTTTCTGTCTATCATCACTTTAATTTTCCAGTTTGAATGAGCTTCACACAGAAAGTACACTGTGCTTTTTGGGGAAGAAATCCTACCCCAGTACACAAAAGTGAAATGACAATAAAACCTATTGTCATAGGCTTTTGCAAGCAACTGTGATTGCAACATAGATGGTTTACAATTATTTGTTCTGCTCATCATACCTGAGTGGCATCCATGGCTTGGGTCTTCCCAAATGTGAGATCTCTAAGCATGTAGACTATTTTGCTTCTGCAGAGAATCCTATAAGTCTTGGCTCTAGTATCCAAGATAAGACTAATGGCAAGGTATTGTAAACAACACATTCATCTTTTGGTTTTAGTTTGTACTTGCTACTGACTATGCTAATATTAAGGAGAAAACTGTATTGAGTTATTAGCTGCTTATTAAATTGACTGATTGTGATTCATTCTGTTCGTTCCTCTTCTGAAGAATGGCATTAGGTATGAAGAAAAAGAGCAAATTATTTTGCCACAGAGTTACTGATACTTGGCCAAACTATCCTCTATCCTTTAGAGATTCTTATGAACTTGAGTGTTACCATGGTTTCTGCTCTGGGTTTCTAAGATATTCAGATGCTACTTTTTAAAAATCATTTCAGTGATTATAGTTTGAAAGAACTTTCTGCTATAAATAAGGTCTTCAAAGGAGACTTTTGTCTTTGAGATTGGAAGAGATTAGAGAAAAGCTTAAGTAGCTTCCCTGCAGGGCAGATTTGGAGAAAAAGTTGAAGCATCTGTTTGTTCTCTGCCCTCTTTTTCCTAATATAAAAGATTTACTGAGGACAGAAGAAGTTTTTTTATGACTGTTCAAACAATTCACAGAAAGGGACATTTTTTTTTACTGCCTCTTGGTGTCTTCATGACTTCTAAAAAAACCATGAAATTGTTGTTGTCTGGTGGTCCAGAATGACATGAGTATTGGGAAAGGAAGGTTGGAGTAGCCGTGCTGTTTGGAAGTACCTACCAATACTTCTGTAATTCTTGAGAAGACTCCCTTCAGTGTTGCTGGGTTCCTTCTCTCTAAGTAATGGCCATAGATAATTTACAGGTAGATTTATCTATTTTATAAGGAAAATATTTGCTTCCTGTCTTCCTAGACTCCACTAACCAAGCTGACACAATCTTGCTTGCAGAATGTGGTAGTGCATATGTCTACAGACTAAATGACTGTATTACTTGAGAGCACATTTCCAGTGGGCTTGTTTCCTGTCTCTGTATTAAATCTGAAGTCCCTGAAAAACTTAGGTTGCAATCTGTCTGCATTTTCCCTGTTGTGCTTGTCTATCCTGCCGTCCCCTCTTTCCTCTGCTGGCACTATATCAATTATACCAGCGTTCTTGGAGAAGCTGCTTTAAGGGTCAGAGGTGAATTAGTGCTAACTTCATGGTATTTCATTTGGCAATTTATTCTTCCTTTTTCTTCTTTAGGGTTTAGCAAAGGATTAAAAGGAAGTCTGCCAGTAATTTGGCTTGAAAAATACTGTTGCACAATGAACCTATCCAGCCTGAGCATAAAATACCAGTAATTTGCATTTCCTTGTATCTTACAGTTCATTTTAAAGAATTCTCACAGTTATATTATTCAATTATTGTAACAGAGGAACTTCTTAATAGCATTACTCAAATGCAGTATTTTAATTAATTCAGCTGTCTTTTTTCATTTATTACTTATAGAGAGAGACCAATTAAATTGCAGTTATTTGTGAATTTTCCAGGTCTTGCTGAATTATATTATTATTATTTCTGAGATGCAGTAGCATTAGACTTCCACAATTTAGTTTATACATCTCAATCATAGGTAGCATTGTTTCCATGTCTTCCATATCGTTAATGCTGAGGATATTCTGTTATGTCAAAGTGTGGTAGAAAGTGATTTTCTGTGTTAGTGTGATGGTAAGCTAAGTAAGTCTTCCATATCTCATTGTTGCATTTTAAAATTGTGCTTTTTTATTATTCCATTATTGTCCCAAAGCACTCAGAAATCTTATAGCAAGAAATGAGGACAGGCTCTGAGTAACATGGTCTAGTGGAAGGTGTCCCTGCTTATGGCAGGAGGGGTGGAACTAGATGATCTCTAAGGTTCCTTCCAACCCAAACCATTCTACGATTCTATGAATTATTGCAATTATCATTAATTTTATTTGTGAATGGTGTCAGAATATCTTTATTATTGGTATCAGTAAGTGAAATTTCCATGCTTGTCTATAAATATGTAGAAGAGCAAATGCAGAAACAAAAGTAGAAAAAAGATACCAAAAAAAATAGAAGTAGTCCTTAAATATTTAAAATTCATACGTATGCCATTCATATTTCAAGTGAAGTAAGAAAAAAAGCACAAAAAATGAGAATTTTAACTTCTAATTTTTTTACTATGTGTAAGAAACTGCCAGGAGTTGTTTTTAAATCAGTGCTAGAAGTGTTCAGGGTTCAAAATACCACAAATGTTGAATCTGTTGATGCAGCCAGCACTTAGTTTTTCATTGTTCTTCATGCTTGTGGTTGTATTGAATACAGAATGAAGCATCATTTGAGTCTTCAAGAAAACACTGGAGAAAATATTATGCCATTAATGTACGATCAAACCTAATAGCGTCAATTTACTGTCATGACTGAGGTGACAAAGATGAAAAAAATAAAGCTAACTATCACTCTACAGAATACATCTTTCTTCCAGTTAGAGAAGTAGAAGCTATGTTTTGGTGGGTTTTGCACAGCAGAAGGCACAGATGGTATTGAATTTTAACAGCTGTCTTCCATTAAGAGTTACTGGTAGTGTGGATGAATGTAGTTAATGTCTAGACAGTGAGAAATCTTCATTTTTACCCGTGTCTTTGTCCTTACTATTGCTAACAACTAAAGTATTATGGAATTATAGAAAAACATTGAATGGTGAATCTGGGAGCCATTTAGTCAAACTCCTACTCAAGAAAGAGCTTACAGCAGGTTGCTTAGATCCTTGTCTATTTGAGTTTAAAATGTCTCCAAGCACTGCAGTTACCAAAATCCAAATCAGACTCCAGTCAGGTCCCTCAGTACCTTTGCTCCCATTGCAGCTAGTCCCATGGAGCTGTGTGTGTCTGGCTGGCTTAAGTGCTGCCCAGCTCCTTTCTCTACTGTGGGTAATGCTTCACTCCCACAGACTTTGTAAATAGACTCTTGGACTGGGGAGAGCCAAATTTGCCAACAAAACCCAAGACACAAAAAGACATTGAGTATCTTGGCCTTTCCCATGTTCTTTGTCACTAAGCTGTTCCCCGCCCCACTGAGCAGCAGACATGCGCTTCCTTATCTGTCCTTCGCTGCCAATGAGGGCTTTTTTCCTTGTCCTTAACATCCTTTGATTATTTCCACTCCAGCTGAGCTTGAGCTTTTGCTTTTGTAGTTTCACTGCTCTACACTTGAGCAATGCCTCTGTTCCCCCAAGTGACTTGTGCTTCCACCTTCTGGGTCATGTGGCTTAATAGGATTTTCAGGTGTCGTTTGCTAGACAACATTTTCCTTAGTCTGACTATTCATTTAAGTAGTCTGTGTTTGACTTTGGAACGTAGTTACACATTTTGTTGCATTTATATATAGGAACAATGAATCAATATTCTAGCTAATTCAGTTTTTCAGCCCTTTGTATGCGCTGGAAAGATGAAGGTACACTAGTGCTACATTTGGCTATGAACACATTTTGTATTAGTCTTGTGAAAATCCTTTCAGCCTCAGCAAACTTATTGCCAGGGTTGTGAAACCCAAGAGAAAGTAGTGAGAGTGCTGGTAGCAGAAGAGCCCTGAGAATGAAACTGCCTGGAGACAGCACTGGCTGGTCTAGCAGCTCACAGATGCCTAGAAGTGGGAGTCCTTTTCCCCATGGCATCTTGTATCCATGGCAAGCTCCTTCTGGTTATCTAAAGAATTTAAGTCAGAAAAAATGGAAGAATGCCTTCAAATGGGTGAGTGAGTTGAACTGAGTGATGAATGCTAGGACTGGTGCAGGAGAAAATGAAGAACCATGTGGCTTGAAGCAGGGGAAAACAAGAGGGAAGAAACTGTACTCAAATTCTGTGGTTTTGCTTCACCTACCCAATTTACTTCATCAGAAGTATAAATTCATTAAATATTTTGTTGGTTTATACCTAACAGCAACATCAAGCGCTTTCTAAGGTAAGTTTGCTTATCTTAGTGACAAAAAGTTAACATAGTTAAAAACACTAAGGTGGTGTCTACCACACACTAAAATTCCTATTACATTAAAAAAAGAATATTTTATAAGATAAATTACATTCTACTACCCTTGTCCAACAATGCTGTTCATTTTAGTTTATGCTATTGTGTGTTTTCTAAGCCATCTATGCTTTCCAGGGTAGCTGCTTCCAATGAGAAATGGAGATTTCCTATTTGGCCAGAATGGAATGATGCAGACATCAATGCAGAAAAATGGGATGCTGGAAAAACTGGAAAAGAAAAACCTGGAAAAGGTCAAATTTCAGTAAGTTTTGTGGCACATATTATTTTAATTTCATTTTTTGTGCTTGTATTTTATAGCGTATTTGTCACAACTTGAAAATGATGTGTTACTGATAAATACATTTATTTTCAACCATATATTTTCAATATGTTTCAATACTTCCCTACTAAACTGCAGTAATAAACTAGAAACAATTGTGCATTGTTTATTTACTGCTTTTAGAATGAACTGTTAACATATCTGTGTGCATTAATGTGGGTACAAAAAAATGTGGGTCTAAAAAAAATACAACCCTCAAATCTATTTCATAGCATAACTAAAACTGGGGATATGGGAACCGCTGAACTGTTGTAGTATGTCAGGGCACTGACACACTCCTGAGGGCACCGCAGTTTCTGTGGGTTCAAAAAGATATTTCTAGATTTTTTTTTCTTATCCTAAGGTTGACTATATTAAACTCCTTTGGGGCCAAAGTATTGTTTCGAGAGAAGGTATACATTCTGTACTGAAGACTGCCATTAACTTGTCAAATAAATAATTTTCCTTTGTGTCCTTCTCCTATTCCTTTACCACTTTTGGTGTCTTTGGGCTGCACTCAACATTTATCTAAGCACTAATTTCTCAGGTCTACCAGATATTATTATCAAACATAAACTTCAAATTAACTATATATGAAAACCTTTCTTCTATTTTAGCACAAGAGATGTTCTGAATTGTTTAACAGACTCCAGTTCTTCAGATGTAAGCCATGTGAAACATTGCTTCTTTTACATGTTTAAACGAATTATATGCCGGTCACAGCAGATGAATTTACAGATCTAAAGTATTTTGTAACATGACCTCTTTTCATCCAAGTAGGTAGCCAGAATTCAACCTCATATAGGTATTTCATTTGGAAACAAAATTAGTAATGTCACCCAGAACCTTTTAGTACACTTGGAGCATGAATAAAAACTGTCCTATTTTCTTGTGTGGCCAAAGAAATCAACCTGAAGTAATCTCTTCCTGGTAACACTGAAAGTCTTTTACCAACCAGCTGTACACAATGCCCTCTCTTAAAGCTGTGCACTGTGTTGCTGAGATTACGCATTTGACCTTGTCATTGTCTTTTGTGCTCATTTCATCCATGTCCTTCCTGTTGAACTTGTGGTTAAGGCTTCTGTCCTTAGAGTATGAGCCCCTGAGACTTGGCACTTGTCCCTTATAGCCACCTTAAATAAAAGATAAGTCAAAACTTGATTTTTTCAGCCTGGACCTATAATATTCTGCTTCAAAGCATTTTTTGCACAAGTAAGCTAAAGAAAGCTATCTTGCAGGTGTGGGTTTTTTTTTTTGGTTTTTTGGGTTTTTTTTACTTTGCATAGTGTCATGTCATTCCCATCTGCCTCCTTTCTCTGATTTATCTAGTGTTTAAGAGCTAAACTTTGCTGTTACACCATGAAGTCAGGGTTGGATGTCTCTGAAAGCAGAATATAAATACTGTTAATACAGTTTTGTAGGGTCCAGATGCCAAGGAATTCTTTAAGCTTTCAGGAAAAAAAAAAAAAAAAAAAAGTATTCCTAAAACATTCCTTCCTTCCCCTCCTCCCCAGCCTTTTTTTCCTTCAGGTACTGAAATAAGTTGTTGCAGATTATTATGTTGAAGGAACTTACACAATGAAAAACAAAAAACAAATCTGGGGAAAAGGTTATTTGGGGGGGTCTTTAGTTTGTGTTTGGTTTTTATGCTTTTGCAATGTACTTTGTTTTGTCTTCCTTTAATCATTAAGGACTCAGACTGTCATAGGTTTTTGTTCCTGGCAACTCCTTCTCTTGTCTGTAGAAGACAGAGTGCATCATAGACTGTGAAACCCTCACAAATATATAATATGCCTAAAAGCTGTTGAAAATCCAGGCACAAATAAAAGGCATTATCCATGTAACTGATTAGCTTCTCAGTCAGCACAATCTGTATCATAGAGGGATGTCCTCATCCCACACTGTGCCAGTAAGTAAACAGACGCCATATATCCCAACGCCTTCTGTGCACATGGAGGATAAGCATCACTTAAAAATGCAAGTTTGAAAACTCTATGAGCCTCTCTTTTTAATGGGCTAATTCATGCTGTATAAATATAGCTCTCTTTGGTTTCTATAGCAGTGCTAAATGCATGGAACATGAGTTTTTAGTTTCCTAATAATCACTTCAGATATTTACTTTCAGTCTTCAACTTAAAAGCTATAGAAATAAGTGAGTTAGAAAAAGTACATAGGAATAACTTGGTAGAAGAGTAACCGACTTAAAAATTTAAGCTTTTTTTGGAGATCTTTCTGAAAGGGGAAAAGAAAAAGAATCCTTTCATACAGACCTCTTAGAAAGTGGAGACCATATAAACTTCTCTGAATACTGGAGGTGGCTTTTGAGCTGCATCTCCACCTTGGGCTTTGGGCTCTTTTTGTTTATGTATGTACTATTAATTATTTTTTATGCTGTTTTGCTCCTTAAGTGAATTATCCTGTGAACAGTATATTATTTTAAATCTCATGGAAGATACAATACTGTAATTATTAAAGGTGGTCCATTTTTGTTCATGCATATTTTGTGTAGCCTGGATTTGATGATCCTGAAGGGAAAATAAGGTTGCCAGCATCCTTAAAAGTGCATTCATGGAAACGTCCACAAGAGTTTTTAACAAAAGAGGTAAGAAACAAGCAAGGTCATGATGAAAAAATGCTAATTGCCAAACTTTTGAGAAGTAGAGTGAGATTAGCAAAGGAAGTTAGTTCAACAGGTAAAAGCCACTTGACCATGCAGTCAGTCCTGTCCTGGACACCAGTGTACACTGGGCACAACTCGTGTGTGCTGCTCGCACGGCTGGGCCCTGGGGCTGCAAACCCTGAACTCACACAGGGTGAGCTTGCACAGCTGATGGTGATGGAGGAGCCTGCAGGCAGTTCCTGCTCCTTACTGACAAATACATCACCTGCATCTCCTTGATTTTATGTAACCACAGCAGCAAGTTATTCAACATCCTTTCATTTTACAGCAGAAATTGTGAGAAGAATTGTTTTCTTGTAAGAATATCCTTTCATAGCTCAAATTGTGTCATAGGTCAGCAAAACCAAAATGGATGGGATCTGCACAGAATGCTGCATAGATGAATCAGAGGCCTGCTTGATGCCACACAACACAGGTTTCTCAGTGTCTAAAAGGACATAAGATTACCTAGCTACTAATCCCATTCTTTACAGTTAGCTGTAATAATAGCATTCTCAATGATACGTTATGGAATCTGAGATTTAATTATTAATTAAATTTATTTATGGGATTAGACCACCATGGACCAGCACTTCCTGGTGCAAAACATCATGGTTGTGTATCCTCCCACATCTGCTTCACTTTTTGACACCTATGTTCACTTGGAAGACAACTGGACAGAGAGATGTCTTTCTGTTTTTATAGATGCCTTCTATTTCTCTATTCTCACTAAGAATTACTGTCATGGCAGAAAAATTTCTGTGTGCTCCACCCGAGCAGGTGTCTGAAGTATTCGTATTTGTCAAGAAACCATGAACTAACTTTACCAGAACTACTTTACTTTTTTTCACTTCAATTATCATATTTTTCTGGGCTACACAGAGTACATGTCTTTGACAGTACTTTTCTGCAAGGTAACCATAACATTTTTAAATTGTGCATAGCTGTTAATCAGTGTAATTTTAAAATTAATTGCTGAGAAAATAGCCTCCCATTTCAAAGGTTAGTGTTCTCCACTACTGTTACTAGTCTAAGGGTTTATGTGATTTACTTCAGATGAAATATTGAAATTTTAAAGCACTTGGACCACCTTTCCAACTTTTTCAGGAGTGTCAGTTTTCCTTTTGTCAGCTTGTCAGTTCCATTTTTTATTAACTAGACACTAAACAGATCTAAGTTTGATTTTTAATGGAGGGAGAGGTCAGAGGAGTAATGACAAGACCAAAAGATTGGATAGGAAACACTGCCAAAATGCATAAAGTTAGTGGAGGTATGTGAAAGATGAGGGCAAGAGAGCTGGCAGCCCAGAAAGCCATGGAAACATGTATCCATATTAAAAATAGCTTTAAAAATCTGTCTCTGGAGTAATATGAAGAAAGCATTTGTTTTCTTTAGGACCTCATTAAAACTTTGATGCTGCTTTTGGCCCAATATATTTTTAATCAACAAGCAATGACTACCAGAGATTTTATATAAAAATTAATGTAAATGTCAAGCAATTAAAGGCTATTAAGAATTATTTGTTACCTGATGTATTTTTAAGTATAAAAGAAAGCATAAACAAGCCTATTTAGTGTGGTAAGCAAAGAATCAAGCAACGAACACCAATATGTGATGAGAGGCACAGATACATTTAGTTCAATAAACTGCAATCCCAGTTTGTCATCACTAAACTGCTTACAAAAAGGAAATGGGCTGTACAAGAAGAAAATAGTCATGAACACAATGTAATGCAGACAAATATTTGATAAGGTCACTGTTCAGACAATACCATTATCTTACTGACCATGAGCAAATAAATCCCTGTGAGCCCTGGTGGGTGGCTAAGAGAATCTCAAAGTACGAGACAGTGTTATGATCATGATTTAAATGCAGAACTGCAAATATCTTAAGAAATTGAGGACATCTCAATTTACTTATGTGATTATTCAGTTTGATACTCTTTAAATCTTCTGGCAAAAATAATAATAATTTTTTTTTAAATCTGAACCTACATTTTAAGGAAGTTTTATAAAGAAATACCAAACCATGTACAAGATGATCACTTCCAATTTTCAAATGTGTAATGAAAGCTTGCCAGATGTCCAACATTTGCACGTTTGCTGCAGTTAAATGTAAATATTAGTTTAATTTTCTCCAGATAATTTAGTTATGGACCTAACTAATTTACTTTCTACTAGGTTCCTGTGGTAGTCCGAAATGAAACCTCATTTGACCTTGTTTCAGCAAATGAGCACATATTTTGTTGTGAGGTAGGTGGAAATACATTAATGTCCCTTTTAAAAGATTATTTCATTTTTATCTTTTTTTGACTTTTTGAATTTCACTCCAAATTCCTATGGAGAAGAAATATGTTGTGAGAAATTTATAAAGTGGAAAATGAACGAAGGGGTTAAAGTCGCAAGAAACGATCTAGATTATTATAATTAGTGTTTATCAGTTTTAGAATTTGAAAAATCAGTGATGGTAACAGGTTTTCCAGCTGGATAATATTGTCTAAAGAAAAGAGTAAATAAAAGCTTTGTTAGAAAGGATTTACATTTTTTATTCAAACTTTCTGGAAGTCCTAGTGGGCCTGGAAATGTCCCTGTGTCTGCAAATGTCTGTGATCCAGACAGTCCTTTCTGTCTCTCCAGAGTTGAATAAAGGTTTACTGAATTTCTGCAGATCATGGGAAAATGTAAACCAGATGGAACCAAGGCATCTGAGTGCCTTACTGAATGTAATATTACTTAATAATTTCTATTTCATTCAGTATGTCAATGCAAATTCAAAATTCAGCACCAGAAATATAAGGGAGGAAAACACCAGAAGACAGGTCATGTCAATTTTTAAGTAGGAAAAACCACTAATTGACTTTAGGACAAGTTTCTTAGAACGTCCATAGAACCATTTATTAATTTTAGGGCAAGTTTCTTGTAGTAAAAACTTTTTTTCATTCCAGTATATATAAATCCTTGTAACAGTTTGGTAATACATGTGAAAGTATGGCATATATCATAAATCTGCATATTATAAAAACACATGCATAACACATGATTATTTAAAACTCTGATTTTAAGAATTAAAGCTTTTTAAGTGTTGAGGACTCCTCATGTGTGGAGACACGAGGCTTGACTCCATTTTCTCAGAAGGCTGATTTATTATCTTATGATATATATTATATTAAAATACTACATTAAAACTATACTAAAAGAACAGAGAGAAAAGATCATCAGAAGGCTACAAAGAACAAGAATAGAATAGACTGGGTAACAAAATCTTGTGACTCTCAGAGTCCGATGCAGCTGCATCTGTGATTGGCCATCAATTAGAAACAACCAACATGCACCAATCACAGAGGCACCTGTTGCATTCCACAGCAGCAGACAGTTACTGTTTACATTTCTTTTCTGAGGCCCTCAGCTCCTCAGGAGGGATTTTTCATAAAATATCATGGTGACATTTAAGTACATTTACTAGTATAGGATTTTCTTTACTGAGTACAAATAATGACTATTCAAGGCAATATTGACTTTTAGCAGCTGGCTTTTAAAAAGCAATTAAGTGACAACTCACAAGTCCTGTAACATAATTTATTTTAAGATCATATTTATTTGTCTTTGTTAAATGATGAATAACTTTATTTATCCTGTGCCTTTACTTAGTTTCATGAAGCCTTGTGTTATTTAGATAGGTATTGTAATGATTTTAAGAGAAGCTGTAACAGCAAAATTAATTTTTCCATTAAGCCATAGCTATATTTTTATGTCACTTTCTTATGTACAACAGGATCTGGTTTATTCTTTCATCATTATAACTTGACTATTTTTTTCAAAATTTGTTACTTGAAATATTTTTTTTCTATTTTTCTCTTGTTTTAGCTGATGAGATGGATTGTAAGTGAAATCTATGCTGTCTGGAGGATATATAATGAAAATTCCTTAAATAGTGAAACACCCACAGTTGTTTGGAAACCTTGGGAACACATTTATGCCTTATGTAAATCTACCAAGGAACGTGTACCACTGTACAATAAGTTTGGGAAATATGTATTGAAACTTTATTGGATGGTGAGTAGTTTCCTCCAACAATATAAAAATGTGATGCAGCTAGCATGGCAAATTTTAATGGTTACTGGACATAAATTTTATTATTGAAAATACATAGATTTTTAGGAATAGAAAAACTGACAAATTGTTGATTTGAATGCTTGTTAATTAAAATGCCTCTTACAGGTTATGTGATTTTTGTACAACTTGTGGCCTGATAAAAGTATTATTACTTGCAAAGGCAATATTTTATTTTTGTAGTTTTGTAGGTTTGATGCAAATGCTTAGTAGAGTCAGTCGTGTAGCCCACACCTCTGGTGTATTAGGCTAAATTTTTGTTTTAATATTTAAGTAATTCACTTGGCTGACTTTACAGTGCTATTTGTCTCTAAGTGTATTTAAAGATAGTTAGATACTTCCAGTGTGAGGACTATTTTCTGAAGAGGTACTGGTAAAACTAAAACATCACAAGGATTTCTAAAGATACTAATTTCTTAACACATTGGGCAGTCAACAGGGAACACTTAATTGCATGTTGAACCTCATTTTAATAAAGAAATAGTAACATATAAAAGAACTGATGTCTAAAAGTTGTCTATGTTGTTGGAGTTATTTCAGTTACATTTGCCTTTTGAAAACAGAAAATGTCACAGCATGGTAAGACCTGTAACTAACCCTACTAAACTTCCAGTTGCCCAAAGTTGAAAATATTTTTGAGACAGTCATTTGGAAATAAAAACTTGAAAGTTACTTTTGCTGTAAGAGGAACACTTACCTGATTTACATACCTGTGCTTTCCTCACCCCTTATTACTGCCTTCACTTGTGGAATCACTTATATTCATATAGAAATGAGTTGCATGACTTTGAGAAGGCATAAATTGTGTTGTCCAAGTTCCTCAGCAGAGGACATTATTCTGGGTGTGAATTTAATGCTGCAGACATTATGATGTGGTAAAATACTACATTTTAAAGCATATCCAAGAGTTACCAGTGTGCTTAATTTTCTTTGTTGCTTTTGTCACTTTTTGTTACACTCTTTGTCTTTTTTTTTTTTTTTTTTGGGGGGGGGGGGCCTGTGTGTTTATTCAATTTTTTGGGGGGGGGGGCCCTGTGTGTTTATTCAATTTTTTTTTTTCCTCTGGGTATACAGCTGTATTTTACAGAAAGAAAAACAGGAAAAAAAGAGGGTCACCTGTTGAAAGAATAAACAAAATGTACAAACAAGGAAAGACAAATATCAGAAGAGACAGAGGAGAAAGATATTTTATAGGAGAAACTAGAAAATTAAATTAAAAAGAGGGCAAAAGATGGAAGAATAATGAACTGATTTCACTAATGCTCTTCACTGAGTCTTGAAGGAATAGTTGTGCGTGACATCAGACCTGTGGATAATAATTTTTTCACATAATTGACAATATATAAATTCTATCCCACATTCTACTTTCACTTTGCATTCCTGAGGTTTGTTGAATTTGTTCCTGTAGGTTTTTTTTTCTCACTTTTTTTCATCTGTAGACCTGTCCCACTTTTTTTTTTTTGTTTGTTTCTTTTCCTTTGCTTATCAACTTGTTCTGTTCTCCCTAGTAAACTTCAGCAATTATTGGAAGAGGAAATGAATATGTGATCATATCCCTGACTAGGTCCTTTTCAAACTAGGGAAGTTTAAATATTTTGTTTTGGTTGTCACAAAATGGTTCTTATCCTAAAAAAATATTAGCTTCTTTTATGCTTTTTGAGTATCTTTGACCTCTGGCCTAAATTTGTTTTCTCCTTAGACCTATAGAATTCATAGCATTAATCAGCTGTCATTTCAGCTTGAGTCCATAGGTTAGTTACAAGCAGAGAACACTAGTTTTGCATTCTCTGATAACACATGGTGAACACTTTAGTGATTTTGTCATTCTTCATTTTGTGAGTGAATTAACAGATGTACTCGCTATTGGCCCACCTATTTTCTATTGTATCTTTATCACTAGGACAGAGAGTTTTATTTGGAGAATGGTAGACAAGATTATTTTGTGCAATATTAGCTCAGTTTACTAATGGAGTATCTGGTATTGGAGATATCAGTATTTTGTCTTACCTGTTTGTTTCTTATCCTGGAAATACAGAATATATTTTTTTTTTTTTTATTTTTTTTTTTTTTTTTTGCGTTTGATAATTTTGTGTTGTTTAGTATAGCATTTTATAAAATACTATTGTAATGCTTAACAGGTGACTAACTGCAGTCAATATCCCCACGTAGTTTTTGGGAAGCAAGGGGGACTGCTTATATCACAGGTATTTTCCAGACATATCTAAAGAGACATTTAAAAAGCTGCTATCTTAGTTAAGCCTTTTTTTAATCATTAGTGCTACTCAGGCATCTGTCATGGCAACTGAAGAAACAGTACTGAATGCATGCACATGATGTACTGCACATATGAGATGAAATATATTTGGAAATAGCAGCAATTAGATTAATCTCTGGAACGAATAAGTCAGACCAGTAATAAAATGCTATGAATTTCATGTTTCCATGTTTCTCATAAATTATGTGAGAACTTTTTTTAAAGCCATCTGTGATGTAAATCAAGTTACAGTAAAATTGGGTTCTTGGGAAAGCATTTAAACTTCTTACATATTCTTCACTTGCCAGCCCACAAACTATTTTTTTTTCTTTCTGCTTTCCTCCCCTTCCCCTGTCACAGGGGTGTTGGAGAAAAATCGTTGTGGATGACACTATGCCATTCAGTGAAGAGGAGAATTTGTTATTACCAGCTACAACCTGCCAAAATGAACTTTGGCCAATGTTGCTGTCCAAAGCTATAATTAAGTTGGCAAATACTAGGTATGTTTTGTCATCTCACTTTTGGTTTGTTTTGTGAAGTCACGTGGTAACAGCAAAAAGTTGATTTAGTATATGTAGGAAATATATTTTGCTAAATTTTTGTATTGACAGTTATACACTTCCAAAAGCTGACACTATAAATCAGTAAAACAAAATCCTCTATAGCTACAGAAGGCACAGGGTCTCATTTTTTAGCTGTGTTTGTAAATTTTTTCACAGAAAACTTACAAAGAAACTGGAGTACTCCCATTATTTCCTTAATTTGTTTGACATGATTCCTGAAAACTTTCACATGTGGCTTTCTGCCAAACAGAAGTACCTGTGAACTGTTAATGAAATTGTTATTGTGAGCCTTGACCAGTATTGACTCAAACAATATTGAAAGTAGAGTTTTGTGAGCCTCTTTTGATACTTTTACTACAGTTGTGCTGTTGTGTACAGTGATCTACTTCCCTAGAACTGACCGGAAAAGTAGAAGGTGGCCTATGATGTAGTAATTGACAGTAATGGCTACAGGTTCCTATGAAATGAGGAATGAACACCAAGAGTTTAAATGAATAAGTTTGAGAAATTAATTCAAAACACACATCTGGGAGTGAAGCTTCCCTGTTCTCATTATATCGTTATGTTTTATCATAGGGCAACCTATATCTGGGGAATAACATGCAGTGACTCCATGATTCAAAAGTTGAACAAATGCTTTATTAAGCTACACTATATTATACCATACTATACTAATACTCTATACTATACTGAAGAAAAACCCATGACCCTTTCCAACAGTCACAACACAGCTTTGACCTAATTGGTCAATCAATCAAAACAGCCATCACCAGAGTCCAATTAACAAATCACTTTTGGCAAACAATCTCCATAACACATTCCACATGTGCCAAACAACTGGAGCAGCAAATAGAGAGAAAAATTGTTTTCTCTTCTTTCTCTGAGCTTTCTCACTGCCTTCCCCAGCAAAAATCCTGGGGAAGTTGTGCTTGCTGCTCTCTGTGAAGAGAGTTGTGGCCACAGTGTTTGTCAGAAGAGTCATCTAAAGTATGTTGACACAGGCTAAGGAGTTGCCGAGAGATGCTTGTCAGGAAACTGTTTGCAGGAATGTGATCGGCATGTGCAGCCACGTGTGTCCCTTTTCAGGGCGGCCCAGCCGAGCCCGATGGCACCCGAGCTGCAGTGCTGAAAGTGCACACTCTCTGATCCTCGGTGACAGAGATCGTGTGCCTTAGAAGGCCTTGGCTAGCTCTGGCAGAAGAGATAAAAGGCGGACTCTGACTCCTGGAGGAACTGGGTTTATTGAGGGAAAGAGAGTTGGAGGAGCGAGCATGTACAGAAGGCAGAGACAAAGTTAAAAAGGCTGCAGCCACTTTTAAAGAGGGGTGGGTACACATGCACAAGGGTTAGCCATACAAGTGCTGGCATCTTTGGCCTTGGTCCTCCCGGAAACCTCTCCAGAGAGTAGCAGTGTCAGTTTGAAACAGTGAACTTTGCTAGAGTGGAAGTGAGCCAGCTTCTTCAGAATAACTGGGAGATGGAGAAGCTGCTTAGGAAATGGAAGTTGTAGATTCATAACCCTGTTTTAGCAGAAGGGATTTCAAACCCACATCTCCAACCCTGCAACTATGTGCAAGTATACATAGTATGCTTGCTAACAAAGGTGAAAAAAAAAAATGCCATTGTACCAGAGGGAGCACTAAAATAATGGACCTGATGTGAAGGCATGGACTTTGTGAAGGGGTAGTCAGCAGTGGTTTGGAAAGCTCCTAAAATAGCAAGTAATGACTTGTTTTTCATTAAACTAATCTGTGTATGATCTTATTCTTTATTACATGGTCTTATTACAGAAAGCAATGTAGACTACAGAGTTTCTTGTAGTTGGTAACATTATAATTGTAAAAAGTCTGCTTTTCTTATAGTATACATGAAAGTGGAACAAGAGAGATGGAGGAATTTACAGTTCTTCAAACACTGACTGGATGGATACCAGAAGTTATTCCTCTCCAGTAAGTTCTTTCATTAAACAATTTATGTGTCAGTTATTTAATATTTAATTCTACAAGGCATTATGAAAAATAAAGCTGAGCCCTAAAAGTCTTTCACCATCAATTTTGGAAAGTCAGTGGCTTATAGTTCAGGCACATGGGTAGTGTACCTTTGAAAAATGCAATTTTATTGTGTTTTTCTTTGTAAGTCATACAGTTTCTTGTAAAGGTATTTATCATGCTGATGCCTATTCTTTATAAAATTAATTTAACTAATATTAAACAGCATGAGGAAAACAAGGTTAGAGAAATCTGTTTCACTTAGTATGCAGTTATAAAATGTCTGCTGATAATAACAATTTTATATCTGAATATACCATAGAAAGTATATGTCATGAATTTGGAAGTAATCAGTGTCAGCTAGTATGGTATGTCCACCCTTTAAAGTGTAACAGTTGGCAGACTTCTAGTTTCGAGTAAAAATAGTGTTTGCTACCTACAATAACATTTTTCTTGTTTCCTATGTGTTTTATGTTAATTTTGTATTTTTAAAGAAAGACGTTCTGACTTTTCAGCTGGATACTCTTTTTACTAAATTAATTACCCAGATACTCATACTAAATATTTAGACTTTTTCTTGTGAGTTACACCTTTTTGCCTTTTGAGATATACATTCAAATGAATATCTAGATAATAAATATTTATGGTTTATATATAATTTACTTAGATATAATTGTTTATTTATAACCATATTTCTCCAATAAATAATTCCAGTCAAAGAATATTTTATTCTGTTTTTCAATAATTTTTATGTCCCAAGCTATGCTTGCAGTTTAGGCTTTTGATATATTTGTGTCCTACAGTAGTGTGCATGTAGTTCATGGACTTAAAAATCTAAGTAGCCTAAATTTTATTTCTTTCCATAGATAGTTTTACAACTTCAACAGCAAAAACAATATTCACTTACTACAAATACATTCTATAATGGAATATGAGAATGTGAATACTACAGAGTCTTTGGAATAGTAGTATAAGATGACTTTAGCTCATTTTACAATCACTTATTTTATTTAAAAAAAAATTTAATGCCGTAAGCTTGCATGAAATTCATTCATGACCCTGTTTGAGATTATTTCGGTAATCACTGAGTTTCTGTGGAAAATCAACATGACTGCATCTGTTACATCATATCAAAAACTTGTCAGTTTGGAAGTACCTTTGAGAAGCTTTTTAATATACAGAGCTAGAGTCACAATATTATATGGTGTAGTAGTAAAGTGGTCTGCAAGTTTCAAGTTTCTCTGCCACAACTTGTGTCTACTAAAAATCTTGAGAAAGGATGATTTATTTGCATGCATCTCTAACCACCATATCTTTTTTTATGGGTCTTTCCATAAGCTGTCTCGACAAATATTTCTGATACAGAAGGTGTTGTAGCTACTAAAATAACCCAGCAGCATTTTTTAGAGTTGGAGTATCAGTTGTGGTATACTGCTGTCTAAATAAAAATCACACTTTCTTATCTTATTGGAAATATCCCTACCATTGACATATACATTTGTGTTTTCTCTTAAAGGCCTGAATACTTGGATAAAGTTTGGGACTTTTTGAAAGAGACTGTGCCAGAATTCAAGTTGCCAGAGAAGGCAGCTCCAGAACTTGAGGTTGCTCAGGATGATACAAAAACTGAAGAGACCAGAGACTCAGAGTTAAGAAGTGAACTTTCATCTGTGAGTAAGATGCCAGATTCAACTGAGAGAGCAGCGACAGTCAATAACGATAGCAAAGGTCTGTAATTTTACATAGTCTAATCTTTGTAGGCCAAGTTTGAATAAGGCTAACATCATCTCTGCTTCAAATAAGTATATTTTGCATATCTTGCCACATACAACTCTGTGGGTTTGTTGTTTCACCGAACAAGTTGCAATGATGTATATTCAGATACTTTCATTTTAGCTATAGATCTCATGAGAAGCAGTAGTAGTCTTTTATTTTATAAAAATAGCTTCACTTTCTGGCAGAGATTTTTTCAGCTCCATGTCACAGTCCTTTCTGTAAAGTCTGGTTCCTTGCAGAGAGATACCAATCAGAGAGGTTACAGTTTCTCCAAAGGCAACACTGCTCTGACCGTCAATTAATTATACATTTCATAATAGGTGTTGTAAAGTGTCATTACCTACAGAGTTATGACAAATATGTTCTAACATCTACCTGCATTTTTATTTATTGCAGCTTTTATTTTATGCTGTTATATATAGGCAGTAATTTTCTTTAAGAGCTGCTAATCCTATTTACATTTAAATTTTAAAAATTTAGATTTATAAACTAGTTTGTTCCAGTATATTATTCTTCATTTTTTTAATTTGAGATTGAGTTTTCTTAGTTGCTTAGTTGTTGCTTAGTTGTTTTTAACTTGAAGGTTGGGTGCAATTTCATAACACTTCTCATGCCTTTGGAGAGTACAAATCACATGCTAAAATCTCTATTTCTTCCTAGATTTTTGGAAAAATCTCTGACTTCCTCACTTTGAATCCCAAATACTATGTCCCAATGTCTAAAGTGTTATAAAAGTCTGAGAAGTTTCCTGGCTGAGGTAGTAGTCTCTCTTCTTAGGAAATCCTGCTGTCATTTTGACTCAGCCATCAGTGTGGTAGATATTTCAGAGTTTGGAACAGACATGTCACTGGGAGCAGCACTGTTCATCCAACAGAGTGCTGTCATTTTTTCCCCCTGAAAACTAAGTAAATGTAATCCTGCCAAAGACTTAAAAATTCATTAGTAAATCAGAGAACCATTGTTTTGTGTATTGTGTCTGATACAGCTCTGTAATCTCCAACTCTGGGGTTAAAATCTTTGCTGAGATGTTCTGTTGGTGTTTGAGATTAATGACACAAAGCCATCCATGTCACCATGAGAGATAAGGACCTGGGGGTCCTGGTGGACAACAAGCTGTCCCTAAGTCAGCAGTGTGCCCTGGGGGTCAAGAAGGCCAATTATGTCCTCGGATACGTTAGGAAGAGCGTCGCCATAAGGTCAACGGAGCTGATCCTGCCCCTTTACTCAGTCTGCATCTGGAATGCTGTGTCCAATTCTGGGCTCTTCAGCACATTACAGACATGGAGCTCCTGAGTGAGTCCAGCAGAGAGGGCAATGAAGATGATTGGGAGACTGGAACAACTCTGACGAGGCAAGGCTGGGGAAGCTGGGCCTATTCAGCTTTGTGAAGAAACAGCTGAGAGGGGACCTCATCAATATGTATAGATATCTAAAAGATGGGTTCCAAGAAGACGAAACCAGGCTCTGTTCCATGATGCTGAACAATATGAAGAGAGGCAATGGGTGGAAACTGGTGCACAAGAAGCTCCACTTGAACATGAGGAAGAACTTCTTCACTGTGTGAGTGACCAAGCAGTGGAACACATTGCCCAGAGAGGTTGTAGATTTTCCCTCACTTGGAATGGCTTTAAACTGGAGATATTCAAGAACTGTCTGTATGCAATCCTGTGCCATGTGCCCTAGTATGACCCTGGTGGAGAAGAGAGGTTAGACCAGATGACCCACTGTGATCCTTTTCAACCTGAAGCATTCTGTGACTCTGTGAAGCTGTATTGTGCAGTTGACACAAAGGAAAGAAGGAGTACCATCCAAAAGGACTTGGACAAGCTTGAGAATTGGACCCATGAGAATCTAATGAGGTTCAGAAAGTCCAAGTGTAAGGTGCTGCACCTGGATTGAGACAATCTAAGGCACAAGTGCAGACTGGAAGATGAACTCATAGAGGAGAAGGACATGGGGGATCTGGTGGATAAGAGGCAGTACATGAGCAAACTGTGTGCTCACAGCCCAGAAAGGCAGTTGTATCCTAGGCTGCATCCAAAGCAGTGTGGCCAGCAGGATGAGGAAGGTGAGTCTCCCCCTCTGCTCTTGTGAGACCCCAACCTGGAGTGCAGCATCCAGCTCTGGGGTCCCAGCACAAGAAAGGCATGGACTTGTTGGACCGAGTCCAGAGGAGGGCCACTGAGATGATCAGAGGGCTGGAGAACCTTTCCTGTGAAGGCAGGCAGAGAGCTGGGATTGTTCAGCCTAGAGAAGAGAAGGCTTTGGGGAGAGAACATTAGAGCACCTTCCATTACTTAAAGGGGGCCTACCAGAGAGCTGGAGCGGGACTTTTTACAACGGCATGTAGTGACAGAACAAGAGTGAATAGCTTAAAACTTACAGAGAGCAGGTTTACAATGAGTATTAGAAAGAAATTCTTTCTGACAATAGTGAGCTCCTGATGCTGATTCCCCAAAGAAGTTCTGGTTTCTCAGTCTGTGGAAGAGGTCAAGGCTAGGACGGGACTTTGAGCAACCTGCTCTAATGGAAGGTGTCCCTGACCACAGCAGGGGGTTTGGAACTAGATGATCTTTAAAGTCCTTTCCAGCCCAAGCCATTCCATGAGTCTATGTTTTTGGGGTTTTTTTTTTTAATGCATTTAAAAAGTCTTTTCCTGTAGTCTAAGTTCTAAGACTTCAAAGAATGTTTAGTCTATGGGAGACTTTCTACTTCCATGTCCATTGGGAATCTATGCATTGTCTATGTGATTTTTTTTTTGGTTTTTTTTGTAATTACTGATGCATGAGAGCAAGGACATGGAGAAAATATTTGGCACAGTGCCAGAAATACAATGATTTCTTACATTGTAGTAAGGACATAAAAGTTGTGCAATAACTAAAAGGCGGGACCAAAGCCTTTCTGTCTCCTTCTCAGTAAATCTTATGTACATCTTAAGAACTACTTTTTATTTTTATTTATTTTAATTAAATTACATTCATTTTTTATTGTATCTCAACTCTTGACTTTAAAGAGTTTGTGGTTGATTGTTTTTAAAATTTATGTAAAATCTTATTAAAGCATTTGCACTGTATGACATTTGATGACTGACTGAAAGTTTTTATCTGAGAAAGAAAAATATTTAATCTTTATTTTGCTTAATAGAAAATGCAGAGCAGAAAATAGTAGGAAAGAAAAAAAAAGGAGAGAAAGAAAAGGACAAGGTAACACTTCAGTCTCCAGGCAAGTTGGCAAAAGCCCAAGGCCTTCAGGACTTAACTGAAAGTAAGTCCTATTGTTTTGAAGCTAAAATTACAGACAGGAGTTATATGTAAAGCAAAAGGCTTTGCTTTAATTTGGTTTTGAACTTAACTGTGGGAGGTTGTATTTACTTTTTTTTTTTTTTAAAGTGTAGTTATTTATAGCTCACATTACACTGAAGTCATTCTAAACTAATCTGCAACATAGATTAAAAATAGTATATTGCAGTACTTTGTTTTAGCGGCACACTGTCTTAGAGTTGTTCTGTGTTTAAAAACCAGCAATCCCTCCTCTTTTGTAATTTATTTGTTCAATATCCACTTTATACACAAAATTGCAATTGGAAAAAGCAGGAATGCTTCTTTGTCTAAGGGTAGGGGACCCGGCATGGGAGGAAGAAATATTTGTTAGAATTCACTCCATGATGTAAATCTATTTTTTTTTTTAATCTTTGTCCAGGAAATACATAGTGGTGAATTTGATTCCTGAGTTGATACAGACATAAGAGCATAAAAATTAAGTAAATTCTTTATTTGTGCATTTACATTTAATGCAAAAAACAAGCAAAAAACCTCAAGAAAATACATTTTAAACAAATCACAAATAAACACTAATCTGACAGCTAAACAGTCAACCAAGATATTTCAAATTTATTAGCATAAACTATAGAAGATTTTCACAAATGTACAATAAGCTTCTATGCTCTTGACTTTGCTTATGTTTGGGTGCATGTGGCATTTCCATGTGAATAGCAGCAAAAACCACTTATTAACTGGAATAATTTGCAGTTGCAAATCAGAATAAGTAGAACATCTTCCTAAGGGAAATAACTGCAAAGTAAGAATGAAATTTACTACATCAATGGCATTCCTGCTTCTTTATTTGAATCCTGATTAAAATTAGTGATTTAAATAATTTTAAACTACAGCAAACCAAGATTGTGGTTTGTCATCAGCAAATATATTTGTTTAAATTCCTAACTTACATACCACTGAATGAGTTAAACAGCAATAAATTTTAAAATATATTGCAGGAATGTAGTTTGCTTTAGCGTAGCAGGTGTGGAATAGGAAATGAGGTGTTTCATGTGAATATAAGTAAAGTACTCAAGCATGTGATGGAGAAAAGAAAGCAAAAGGGAAGCAAAAGGCTCCAACATATGCATTCTAGGAAGTGTGCGAAATGAGTGAAAGAGCATTTAAAAAAAGAGGCAGTGCTTCCATGTGAAAAGTGACATGATATTTAGATCTTTATCCTGCCGCTTAAAGCACAGTTAATGCTTTTTTTCTGAAAGCCAAATAGTGTCCTGTGAAGAGGTTATTTAGAAAGATTATTAATTCAGGTCTCAAGCACACTGATCAGAGTACTCTTTTATCCTAAGTTTGAACCAAAAAAGACTTTTGGAGAAGAGTAAGAGGTAGGTATCTCTATATTAACAGGGCAAATTTAAAATTATTAGACTGAAAGGAATAAAAAAGAAGTTGAAGTTTGAAATAATACTGAATTATGATGCATTTTTGTTGTGAGAGTGTAGCCAAAAGAGGGAAATCTTGCAGGCTTCATGAGACACATGGTCTGCAGAGTGGCCCAGAACAGTAAAACCATTGTTGTGCGTAAAATAACATCTGAAACTAGGTCTTGATTAAAAGTCAGACTCCAGAGGCAGTAGTTGTAAAAAGTTCCTGAATTGTTCTGCTGGAATTTTGTAACAGCGACTTTACTTAATGCAGTAATAGGTTTTTTTTGGTTTGTTTTTTTTTTCATTTTAAGTGACTTGAAAACTGTTTCATTCCCAGCATGATAAAAGTGCTTACTTCTCTGCTGCAAGATTTCACTCTACCTGTTGATTGTTGACTTCAAGGAAATTTTTCTTCTTTGTGATTAATATGGGCTGTTTCTAAAGAGATATTCAACTACTCCATATATTATTTCTATTTGACTTTTAAAATGGTAAAACCTTCTGTATTCATTGCATTGCATATTCATGACCTTGTTATTCATGACATGTTGAAGGACCAGTTACTTCTAAATACTTGGAAACTTATGTTACAGGCTTTTGATTTTGTGTGGGCTATAATGTTGTGGTGAATTGATGCTGTCTGGCAGCTAAGGCCACCACCCATCCACCTGGTTACTCTTCACAGTGGGATGGGTCAGGGAATGAGGACTGAGCCCTTTGCCTACCCTCAGTGTTCTTGCTGGGGTGGTGGAGTGAGAAACAGATTTATTGGTGTGTGAGTTTTGCTCAGCTGTCACTGACAAACTGGTGTGTTACCCCAGTGTTTTGGTCACATATCTAGAACAGCACCACAAGGGCTGCCCTGATGAAAGCTCCATCCCAGCAAGATCCAATACAAACATATGCAGTTCTGAACCGCTTGCATAGTCAGACCAATGCCTGCGGCACCACACAAACACAATATGAGTAGCAGGATCATGGAAGCATTGAACTTGTTTCTCTATGCATCCAGTTGTGTGAATCCAGCTGAATAACAAGCCCTTGATATAGTCAGTCTGAACTCTTCCTGAGACCAACTCACTTTGTCTTTGATAAAGGACTTATCTGACTGACTTTTGATCTGACTTTATCAGTCAGCCAGTCTTTGGGAAGTTTTAGCGGATAATTCATATGTTCCTCCTGACCCATTTTACTATACAAATCTGTACTTTTCCACTCAGCAGCTTTTTCTTCTGGTTACAAAGCTTTCATACTTAGGGTATCCCCGTGTTTTATGAGCAGTTTACACTGAAATGATATGATATGAGATGAGGTGCTGTGAGGTGAGGGTCCGAAGTGACGCAAGGTCCCCAGGCAGGTGCAAAGAAGAGCTGCTTTATTCATGCCTTTTTCATGCAGTCAGGCCTTTATCAGTTACATACTTTTAAATCATAGCAAACATAATGCAAGCAACCACCATACACCATGATGTGAACACGTGATGGTGACATACCTTGTTTTTCTGCCTCTAACTCAGCTGAGTCACTTTCCTGTAGTCCTTTTCTGCTTAGCCGAAGTAGCAGGCCTGAACCATTTTTTACAAGGCCTTCCCTTTGTAAAGTTTTACCTATATGCAGCAAGGTACTCTGTCACATTGTTCCTATCAAGAATCACTTCTTTGCTTGTATGTAGGTTTTCATACTACTGAGTTTCTTAATGATTTCTTAACTGCTAGAAAGGGAACACTATTCCATTTGAAAGGTCACTAGCTAGGAATTTGGGAGTTTGTTCTACAAATCAACCATGCATTTTGCTAATCTCATTATGCCTTCATGGAAATTCTTTAATTAAAGACAGTATTTTCTATGCCACAGAAGTGATGAGATTATTATATTTAGAAGTCTTTGAAATCAAACAAGTAGATCTGTAATCATCAGAGTCAATGAGAAAAATGTCACATAACTGTAACATTCTTATAATTTTTCTTCTACCTATTCAAGAGTTTTCATTTACAAGATTGATTAAAGCCTAATGTTTTATTTTTTCAAGTGCATATCATCATTCTAAAATATTTATGTCAATTCTGAAGAGCACACAGGTTATTTTTCTGTAAACTAAAAAATACCTTCCAATATGCGAAGCTAATCCCTGCCTATCACAACAGCAGAAGTTAACATCTGAGCTGCACACCTGATGGTCAGGATATTGAAAGCCAACTGATGTGTTTTCATTGAATGGTTTGGGCTGGAAGTGACCTTAAAGATCATCTGGTTCCAACCCTCTGCCATGGACAGGGGCATCTTCCACTAAGCCAGAGTTCTCACAGCCTCACCCATACAACCTGGCCTGGAACACATCCAGGGTTGGGGCATCCACAGCTTGTCTGGGCAACCTATTGTGGTGCTTCAACATCCTCACAGTAAAGAATTTTCTTTCTACATATAAGCCTGCCCTCTTTCAGAGGGGTCAGCTAAAAGAATTACCCCTTGTTCTATCACTCCATGGCCTGAAGAATCTCTCTTCAGCTTTCTTGCAAGCCACTCTTTAGATACTGGAAGGTACTCTAAGATCTCCTTGGAGCCTTCTCTAATCCAGGCTGAACAATAGAAACTTCTTCAACCCTTCTTCATAGGAGAGGTTCTCCAGCCTTCAGATCACTTGTGGTCCTCATCTGCCATCATTAGTCCTTGGAAAGTTATACTACAGCATCAGCTCTTGTTTGATAGATAAATATTTAAAAGAAACATTGAGAGTGAGAAAATTCTTAGCAAGTCATATGCAAAACATATGATAAACAAAAATGATTAACATGTATTAAAACCAGTAATTTTAATTCCTGGCCTTTCTTTGTAAGTGACTGGATATGTATTTTACATGGATCAATTAAAATCTTACTTTCCCTTCTCAAAGGGACTGAAGCATTTTTTTGAGTTGTTCAGTACTCATTCTCTGTAAGTGAATTTGCAAAGTTGCAAGTGCGAAACATAAGTAGCTACATGGATTCAGAAATTTTTAACAAAGCACTGCAGAATTCTTATATCCACACTGATGGATATAAATAATAGGCTTTGGTGAATCTGTTTTGTTGTACTGTGTTTTATAACATTTTTCATCTAATAATGCAATTTCATCAAAGCTATCAGTTTTAACTAGTTTCCCCAAATGCTGAATCCACACTAACCATCGTTACACTTGCTGCCAAATGATTTGCATGCATTGTCCTCATTTTTTGTACAGTGAAAAAAGATCAAATAATATGTAATTTTTAAAGCTACTGGCATAATGTACTAGTGTTGTAATAGTATTAATAAAGTGGATATGATGTGAATGGTTAATCATTTGCATGCTCTAATAATTTGTTAATTGCTATTTATTGTCTGCCCTGCAGACATTTTATTTCACAACCCATCTGGACTGAATATGACAGCTTTACATTCCACCTGGTATTTGATAAAATACTTTTATTTCAGAAATACTTCTCACATGCAATGAGATTGGTGTGCCTTGTGGCACACACTGTTCTGTAATGTGCAGGACATCATAGCTAATATAGCCGTGTTTGTAACAGATCAGATATATTAGCAAGGACTGAGATTAAAGTTAACTATAGCCTTGCTTTTGAATAAGTTGAAACCCATAACTAATACAAGAGCTATGGTTAACACGGGAATCACAAGCACGCAGTGAGAAAAAATTGGAAAGTAACTTTTACTTGCCTTTAGCTTATATTTAATTGGGTAATTGAATTCCTGGAAGAATATTTAGAGAATAAAATGTTGCATACCCTCTAAATAAATAGATTTTGGGTCTGATAAATCATATTCTCCAGACACTTGCCTATTTATATGCAGATAGCTTTGTTTTATTTCATTTCACAGAAAATACCTATTCTTAGTGTACCTTCCAGCTGAATATTTATTAAACATAGGAAGCAATTATCCGGTATTTGAGGTTAAACTGTAGGGAACAATGACAGACGCAGGTAATTTGACTGGAATGTTAGATGGGGATAGAATCATAGAATCATTTAGGTTTGAAAAGACCTCTAAGTTCATTGAATCCAGCTCTTAACCTGTACTGCCAAGCCCACCACTAAACCATGTTCCTCAGTGCCACATCTACATATCTTTTTAATACCTCCTGGAATGATGACTCAACCACTTCCTTGGACAGCCTGTTCAAATGATTAACAAATCTTTCAGTGAAGAAATTTTTCCTAAAAAACATTCTGCTGAAAAACAGCTGTCACAACCTGTGTACTGAAATCTTGTCTCCAAATTTTCTGAGATGGCTAAGGAAAAGTAGAGAGAAATAGATAGCTATCTTTTTGAGACATCTTTTTGTTAAAACCAGAGATGTATATTTCAAGTTTTATGTTTTAATTTCCCTTCAGCATGAATGAACGGACTTCCTTGTCTTCTCTTCATGATTCAGGAATTAGCAGTGGCTTCTTGCACAAATAAGAGTAGGAGATGATCGTATGGTTGCCTAGTGCAACAGATTTCTGGGGTTAACAAAGTGAATGTGCCCCTGTTTCTATTCCTTGCCTATAGCAGAATTACAGGCAAACAATTTTATAAGGTATGTGGGATAAGAGCTTCATACTTTCGGAGGCAACCATCATTACCTCCATTTTTTTCATCTGCTTGACAGAAATGAGAGCAGTAACCCTGGTTTACAGGCACTATGTTTCTCAAATTACGTAATTATTTATCTCAATCTCCATATCTCTTGGCAGCAGTGGCCAGAGCTCTGGCTTTGGATCCTTTTGTTGGCAAGATCAAATTTTGTCTTCACTGGTGATAAGCATTTTACTAGTACTGACCAATCAGAATGTTTTTACTTCATCTATATATATGTATTGTTTTCTTTATGCAACTATCTACTTTTTTTTTTTAATTTTAATTAAAGCAAAAAAAACCAATGTTGAAAGCTACCTCACTACCTCTGACCTGTCATATTTTGAAATTGTATTTTATGTTACTCATTTATGAAAAATAAGTACAATATGCAAATGCTGTTGATGATTTAAATGAGGTGGGTTTTTTCCATCCGTGGCTTCTATTCAAAGTGCATTACAATGAGCACTTTTGAATAAAATAACAGTCAGATAAAAAAAATAGTAATAAAAATAAGACAGAGAAAGCACAATAATTTAGTGTGAGCTACAGCTAAATCTTTTACTGTTTTCCTTGTTCTAAAGCATGTTGATGTTTTCTGTGTAGAAACACCCATACCAACTCAGCCAGAAATGGTGGTATACGCTGGCTGTATACCGCTGCATTTGTTTGAAGAGGACATTTTTTCATTAACACGAATGGTAAGATTCTGTGCTCTCAGGACAGGAAAACATTACTTATTTTGTTATCAGAGTGTTTCATTTTGTTGCAACAATGTTGTTAAAAAAGAATATAATAGCACTGTGAAACAGTCACTAGATGATGACTGTCAGTTAAATTTATATTTTGGTGCTTCTGTTTTCTGAACATGCATATTCCTGCCAAAGCCTGCTGATTTTACTCAGTTTTCCTCCACTTTCCTTGGGATCCCAGAAGCTGAAGTCTTGTCAGAGAGGCTAGATGTGCACTAGAAAATGTATCATGATGAGATACTTCTGAGTGGAAAGTCTAATTGTTTTAAGGGCTACTTGAAAACTATGAATTTTAATTTTTTGAAGTCTACAATTAAGACTCTCTGATATACATTTTCCAGTATGTTGCTTGTTCTTGTATAAGAAGTAGCATGTTTGTATCAGTTTCTGTCATTAGTGTTATAACTGGTAAAAGCAGCTGGAAAAAGTGTAGCACTTAATGCAGCTGGGGTAAAAACAACACTTTTAGGCAATTTTGAAGATTAACTGTTATATGTGATATTGTTTTAATTTATTTTAATATAAGGTCTCAGTCAATATTGTCTCTTTGCTAAAAATAAGTAATGCTAGTCATCAAAAAGCAAAGTGGAAGTGGGGGCATGGGCTTGTATCTTTCCTGCCACCTAACACCCTGAGTCTCAAACTTGACTACAGTCTGTTGGGATATAGAAAGTACTGAAAAAGTGGTATGGCAGACCAAATAGGATGAGACAGATGAATCTATATGTCTAAACTAGTGTTTTAGTAAAGACTTGATAGAAAAATGGAAGCTGACAGAAGTTAAATATAGAAGTGTAGAGGATTTGATATGGATAAAACCCCACCATTTTCAAGCTGTATTCAAGGGCTGAGAAAAACTACACTGATTGAAATAAAGTTTAGAAAATAAGTTCACTGGGATAAGAGTTGCTCCCTAAACTTGGAGAAAATTTTGTCATTGACTGCAGTTGTACCAGAATTTACCTCACGAATTTTTGCAGTATCCCTTTTAACTTTACTTTCTAGTATGAATTTCCTTGGATTATGATGACTTGAATTTGTCTTAGTTTGCTCAAATAAAATGAAAAAAAAAAAAAAACCAGTAATTGAGTCATACAAGTGTGTAGTGTACTCAACAGCTAAATTCTCCTTTATGACACCTAACTGGTTATCTTCAAAATCCTTTTCAATCTTGGATATTTTAACTGGCATTTTTAATTTAAATCATTCCCCATTGTTCATCTAACTGACAACTACAACATTGTTCTCTACAGAGTTCATAAATACAGAACCAAAGGAACATTTTAAAGTTAGTAGAAACAGTCAGAGACCTGCTGATGAGTATGCTAAAGAAATGTTATTGGTGATTTATTTAGCATGTAAAAGAAAGCGTGCTTTTAAAATTAAAAGAAAGTACAAATCTTGTAACAGAACTTTCAGTTGTGATGTTAAGTACTAGATCATTATTATTTTAGTGGGAAGAGCACCACTCGATGTCCACATCTAAAATTGTTCTTAAATCTGTTCCTAAGGGTTTTGGTATACAGGTCAACTGAAGTGTCTTTAATGTGTTTTATAAATGGCCCATCAAATAAAAAGCCTAGCTTTAATGATGTGTTGGTTCAAAACAATACATTACGGAGTTTTTACAAATTATCTAAAAGACCAATTGATTTTAGAATTCTACCACTTTATAAATTCAGCATGAAGGAAGGACTTTTTCCCTCAGAAAGTGCTTTTAAGTATGATTATTTGAAAGAAAATATTGTGCCTATTGCTTTCTTACATATTTACTCTCTTCACTTGTATGTTATGGTTATATAAATAAGTTAGAAGAAGTGATGAATCTATTATAAAAAGTAAAATATGTGTCAACACTTCTAAGTATGCTTCTCATGCTGAATATCAAATTTTAATTAGCATGTTTTTGGATAGTCTTGCCAGGTGGACTATATTAATTTTATTTGTTATACAAGCTTTGTGTGCATACTGTTCTTGTTTGTTAGACAGATATAAGGAGAAAGAAGATCTGACCCAGTCAGGTTACCCTTCCATGTTTTGTAGGCTGATTCTTCAGAGAAGATGCGGCAATATGGGCTTTCCCACATACACAGCCATCCTGTCCTGGTCACTACAACTAGGTCCTGTCCTCTGGTAGTACCTCCAGAACCACCACCACTTCCTCCTTGGAAGCTTTTCCGTCTGAAAAAGAAAGTTGTTGTGACATCTGAACCCCAAGGTTTGTCTACTAAAAACTCCAAAATAAATTTGTAATAACACTTTAATTATTTCAGGACCATACTTTTCATCTGTTAGCTTAATTTCAATTGAACTCAATTTTGTATTACTTCCTCTTAGCCATATTTCCTACATGCTTTGAGAAGTGCCTTAATTTATGTTGAAAAAAGTACTCTAGTGGAGCAAATGAAGAGGGGATGTTATCAAAGTAACACAGAAGCTCTCTGATGCAGAGCCATGAAAGCTTCTGAAAACCTTTTAAAAATTTAAAGTATGAGACTAGTCCTGCTGCATCAACTCATGGTTTTAGAGTAATTTTTTTTCTAGGGTTGTCTGTACTGCATAATGGAGTTAGATGCATGACATGGTATAGCTTGAGCATGAAAGTGTTACAGGCAGGCTAGCAAAGTATAGTGGGATAAGAAATAAAGGAAATTGGCAAAGGCAAAAAGTGATGTCATAGTTGTTTTGAGCTAACCTAGCCAACCTTACATATAAATTAGGCACAATTTAATACTTTGCAGGCTGAGGATCAGAGTGTAATGCATTTATTTTTTCATTATATGTCACCTAGAACCACCCCTGTTTTTTCTGTTCCATTCAAGTGCATGGGATGACACTTAGAAAATTATTTGGGGGTGACGAGTCCCCATTGGAAATTATTTCTCAACATTAATAGTATTAAATACTTTTATGAATGTAAATATTTAACAAGTTGCTTTTTTTCCCAGAGCCTGTGGTAGAGAAACCTGAAAAACATGTTGAGATTGCTAGCCTGTTTTTTAAATACAAATTGGATATTATCAAAATCCCAACAGACACGTAAGTATATAATGTAGTTTCAGCATTAGCATTGTGAAAGTGCATTGTGAAAGTGCAATGGCTTATCTTTACTTGTGTCACAGGGAAAAATTTCTCAGATCATGTCTGAAGCACATCATGGCAAAGCACTCTGTTGATGTATTGGTGTCACGTAATTAAGGAGCTATCAGTGAACTGTGCATTTAGGATCAATATAGGCAATACAACAGATAAATTTGTATACTAGACACTTACAAAATGCTAATAAACACCTAAAAACTTCTGAACACCTTCCTGTAGCTAATGCCAAGAAGTTCTAATCAGGCACACAGATGCAAACATACACAATTATGCTCACCCTCCCATCTTTGAGGCTTACAAACACCTCCTGTTTTGGGAGTGCAGCACACACTTCCTGCAGGAGATGCAAGTCTCTGGGCTTAGCTGTTTCTCCCTCAATCTGCTCATGACTGCTCTGCTGAGAAAGCTATCCAGGAGGTAGACATGCACACATGGGTCCCCACTTGTCACACCCAGTACGGACAGGTCCCTTAGGCAGATGTACACTTCTCAGGGCTTCTGGCATAGGAGGACTGAGAGTGATGTCAGGTAAAGACATGTTGCCAGATTCTCTACCTAGTGGGCCCAAAGATATAGACTTTTTGCTAGATTACTTCTGCCAGAAATAAGAATATTCTTTGAAGTATTTCACCTTTATCCTCAAACTACTGGTCTTTTTTTGTTCTAACATATAACAAGGAAATAATTGACTAGCCAGTCAGTATTTTCATAGGAATCACAAGTTTGATATGAAACACTTAATGTTTATGAATAAAATAGGCTGTTCTCTGTTCGTGATTGTTACAACAGGCCTGAGAGTGCAGATGAAGAAGCTCATGGTCAAAACACAGCTTTGTATAAATGCCTTGTGTTAAAGACTATTTGGAAGTCCTATAAACCCTTGAAAACCAAAGTCTTTACATAGGGTGTCTTAGAGAATTTTCAGAAATTGTTACATACATTACTTCCAGTCAATATTCCATGTTCAGCATAATACTTGCTCCCTGACAAGAAAATAAAGATTCCCATAAAATGCATCAGAGCTGTGGTTTTTTCCCTAGGACACACTGCATAATGCACTTCTGTCAGGCTTCAGCGTATGATGTGAAAATTCAGACAAGTTCTAGAATTATTCATCCTGTCTCTTTTACTCTGATTGAGCTTCTGTCATGAAGAATTGAATGTGTCTTATACTCAGTGTACCCTGAAAGGTTTGTGTCTTTCTGGAGGATATGTCTTTTCTTGAGACTTGAGGCCAACCGTAAATTGTTGGAGATCTGTGTATTTTCTTAGGGTGTGTACACCTTTTTTTTGGTACATCACTAAATAAACTGACTAAATTACATATGTGGCAGGTTCTACTTTTTGGTCATCATAATTGGACAGACTGATAATGGACCTTTAGCTAGATATTTTTAATTATTTTTGAACAGCAGCATTTGTCCATGAATGATGTGACCTTGGAATATTCTGGGAATGTAATTGTTTTGCTGATACAGTTGCATTTTGTTAGTTAAATGTACCTAAATTACTACTTGTTTTCAAACAGTAGGAGTAGTAATATATTATAATGCTCTAAGCAATTATCAGGCTATCAAAGTAATGGGAGATTTGATAATGAAGATGTTGAAGTATTTGCACTTTAACAGATTTTATATTGTTTTTTCATATTTGATAGATTGCTTCATGGTCAACTTAGCTCATTTGGGGAAGGATAGTTAATTTAATATGCTAAGTTTCCATGACAATTGGCTACTTTAATCTTTGTGATTTAATTAACAGGTAGTAGCCAAAAATATATAGCAGGTATTAGCATTGCATTCAAATAATATAGCTGTGTAAATAAGATAAGGGACTTAGATACACAATTTGGACTGAAAGTTTTTAATCTCTTCCTCTTCCACTAATAAATTATTTTGAAACACTTAAAGGGAAGATAATTTTGACTGTTACTGCAAAAGATCTTGATCTTTCATTATCTCAGTCTTTAGAAAGGGGGCTAGATAACACATGCTTTGATTTTAATTTGTTCTTTATTGCTCAAATAGCATAATTACACACTTAAGTCTAATTAGTATGTATGCAAAATTGTTTTGGTCTTGTTCTTCTAGTTCTTCACTTAACAAGCAAAGAGTTACTTATATTTCCTACAGTTTTTACTCCTGCCTCCAGTGAAGTAGCAACAGAGCTTTCTTTTGTTAGCACCAGAATAGACCTGCACAGGTTTCCTTGGTTATCCTGTGTATTGGGGGTCTGGTAGCTATGGAGACCCATTTTGAGGGAAAAGACAAAGAGTATTCTGACAAAAAACATTTTAATTTTTTGCCTTATCTCCACTGAAGTAGTGTTTTTTTTTCTTGTCTAGGGGCCATAGTAATTTATTCACTTCTGACATTATCATCTAGTTTTCAGCTGGCTTGGGTTATGCTTTTTTGAGGGTCAATTAAGAGGTCTTTCTGTCATAGGTTTGTGTGTAGTGCCAAGCCAGTAATGACAAGAAATATATGAAGATATGGATTCTGTGTTGCCCTAGGAATCTTCCAAAATAAAGGACACACAAACTAACTATTTTGTTAAGGATATGAAGACTTACGAAATTATGAAGACTGTCATTTGAAAGAAAATGTATGGATTAAAGTGTTTGCATTCTTTTTCATTATTTAGCTACTTTCCACAGTCTGGCCTCAAAAAAGGATTTCATACTACATCCCGTCTCACTTCTGTTACTGAAACTGATGAAAATGAAAGTGACAGTAATGGGGATATGAATCAAAATGGGAGACACTCAAATGCAAAAGATTATTCTCAGGTAATAATATTTCTATTTTTTAAAACTTGACCTAGTTTTATATTACAAAGGAGAGTGAAAGATAAAACTATTTAATACTGAAATATATGTTTTCAAAGACATTTCAGAAAGCTTTTTCCTTTGCTATTTAACTAACTTCCCTACCCTTTCCACTTTATAGTTACATTGATGTGTATTGGTTGGGAAATCTTTCTTAGTGCCTTTTCTTTAACTTTCTTTTTTATCATTTTCCCTCACATTATAACACTTCTATTGCTAACACTGTCTTGGTTTTGCTCTTCAAAATCCTTTTGATGGGAGTATCATAAGAAGATAGTCAGCAGTGTTTTAAATAACTCTTACTTTATATTATGAATAGTTTATTTCTACTGCAGTGCAAGATGTACCTAGGCATGTGACTAGAAAAATTTAAACTTTATTAACAAATGCCTTAAAATGGCATCATCATTTAGGACTGAATGGAAGGACTTCTGCTAGATCTGGAAAAAGATGTAAGGCTTCACTGCTCAGTTGGCCTGCTCTTAGATTTCAGAATCTCTGCATTCTAAAGGAACCTTCAGCTATGATTTGGAGCCTCAAGGTTCCTGTGCAACTCTGTGAGGGAATGACATTCCTCCAAACAGGTTCACTGGCTGCAGCACTGACTACAAGTTGGCTCAAACCACCCAAGCCAATGCTAGTTGCTAGGTAGATGTCTCCACTGTAATTTTCCAATTATTTTTCCAGTTAATCTTACCAAAGTTTAATGAAACATTACCAGGATGACTTTGGGGAGTTGTAATTACTGCTTTTTATAATACTTTTTTTTTGTTTGTTTCTGTTTTTAAATTGAATGTGTATATACTACCAAAGTCTGCTTTTAGATAAATCTTCAACAAAATGCTCCTTCTAATATTTAAATCTTACAGGCTTAACAGATAAAAAGTGATACTTTCAAAGACTTTCTGAGCAGTACATTTCATGAAAGAATATTTCATATAGGGAAATAGTTTGCAACATAGAGAAATAAAGACTTAAATAGTCACTTAAAAAGAAATAAACAGAGCTCCACTGAAGTTGTTTCATTTGCTCAATGCCTACAAAGTAACTCAATGTGGCAATGTGCCAGCATCTCTTCAATTTCATTCTGACTGCAGCAAACACTACTCAGAAGACCATTTGATAGATTTCTCTTTTGGCTTTAAATTCTTTAATGAATGGGAAGTAATTTTCTATGTGATTTTTGGAGTGTCTATTTATATTTCCTCTGCAAAGTACCTTCATACCATTTTTATATTTCCCCTCTGTATATATACTGTGTGTTTAGATAATGTACATGTGTGGATATCATTAGTAGATTTAATGATTTTAAAATAAAGCTATTCTGCAGTGAAGAAGAATGCTTTACAATAGAATATATCTATGACCTGTGATGCTGTGATATACTTAGCTATTCAGTATTTTGTCTACATTTTATAATAAACAGTAGCCTAATTAGTATTTCAATAGTACTTTGCCTTTAAAAGTATTTTAAATAGTGGTATCATACAAAAATCATTACAAAAAGCAGCAGGGTAAAAAGGAGCTGTAAGTATGTCTTGGTTTAGGACAAATCTGGAAGTAAACCTCCAGATGAGGTCCCTCTGGAAAGCAAATTTGAGTGGCCCCTCCTCCCCACCAGTTTGGGAAAGATTACCTTGGGGAAAAGTGGGAAAAAACTGTTTATTTAAGAAGCAAAGTATTCACAAACACGAAAAAAAAAAATGAATAATATTGAACAATGAAACCTCTTGCTGTTCTGAAGAGATGGAAAATTCAGAAAGTCCTTTTTGTGCGCTGTAGCTCAGCTTTCTCAGTCTCTTATCAGTCCCTCCTGTGCTGGAAATGCCGTGTCCCAGGCCCCAATGGGCCACAGTGTGAGCTTCCGATATTTTTTCTAAATTTTCTGTCCAAAACCAGTTTGAACAGTTCCAAAAAAAAACACCTCAAGCTACGGTCCAAAAAACCTCTCTGCTTCAGCTAGCAAAAAAACTAACTAAAATCAAAAGAAAGCACTTTCTCACTGTCCATGCTGCAAGCAACATGCAGCAAAAGAAAGAATGCAAACCAAGTGCAATCTCTGCAAACTCTGTGCTTCTTCTTCCCCCTTCACTCTCAGAACCAATCTTAAAAGTGCAAAACTTAATATCCAACATAAACAGAACAGACAATTAAAATACAAGCTTCATAAAATCTCCCTAAAACAAAGTAGCATCTTCTAACATATAATTGCAAAGTAACATATAATAATTATTGTTTTCATTACTTCAGTCTTTAGATGTACAAATATAGGTTTGGCTAGTTGCAAATTAATAGGAGTTTATGTGCTGGAAGCATCAAAGGAGTGTGAAACATCCCTTAGATTTTCTGCTCTAGTCCAAGAGTGATTTAGAAGGCTGGTCTGTCACAGTAGGACATGCAGTCAAGGAGAGACAAGGGCAAGTATGAAAATACATGAGAGAGACACTGATAAAGCTGGAATGGTTGGAAGAAGACATGAATGTGATGTAGGCAGAGGGCAATCTGATTCAGGCATGAAATGTAAGAAGTTATGAACAGCTAATTGACTTGTACATGAACTTTACTTTTGCCTCAATTTAAACCTCAGTTGAAAAATGCTGTACCTGTTAATAGCTAGAGTATGCAAGGAGAACTTAATTTTTACAGATTAAAGAAGAAAATGGTTTTTAACTTGGAGAACAATTTTTTTTTTCACATATTAAATCTTTTCATTAACAAAATTATGTGGATACTTCTCGCAAATTCATAAAGGACGAGCTTGCTTTCTGTAGTTTTTAAACTTGATATAATAATATATACTTTTTAAAAACAAATCAATTAGTGAGTAAAAAAACAAACACTGAAAGAGAAACTTTGATATCCTGAACTCACTATATTATTGCTAATTTTTAGAATTTTGTATTGCAATATACTGAATGTGAATAACCTTGTCTCCATTTTAAACTGTGTGATTACTAGTCAGGAGACATCTGCTTTAAAACCTTTGATACAGATTTGGTAAATCTTTGGGATACAGCAGTTCTATGCTTTAAGCTGACTGAAATTCAGTCAGCTGCTGTGCCAGATGCTCGAGAAGTTTAAATTGGCATATTTCAATTCTCTCTAATGTAAACTGCATGAAGTAACATTACTTGAATATCTGAATCACTGTTCCTAAGATCTGTTGTCACAGAAACAGAGATGAGTGATACATGAAAGACAAAATTCTGGGAGCGGGGTGTACCTTCTTTGAAAAATATGAAGTTGAAAGGCATGCCATTATCCCTCATGTCCTCAAAGTATTCTTGCCAAAAAATAGAAATGCTTCATTATTGAATTTTTCAAATTTTTTTTGGTTTTTTTTTGTTGGTTTTTTGTTTGTTTGTTTGTTTGTTTTGTTTTTGTTTTTTTTTTTTCTCTGACTTTCCCATTCACTGATTTTACAGTCCTGGAAGCATTTGGATTTGCATTAGGAAAAAATATTTTAAAATATCTCATTTTGGTAGTTTAATTGATCTTGAAACACCGTTCTTAGGAAAATGTATTTTGTTAATTTTTTGTTTAAAAACTCTATAACATAGGGCCAAATTCTTATATGGAGAGGCTTTCTTTTATTCTTGTTCAGTAGGAAATTAAGTAATTTATAAGTGTAGCACACATTGAAATACATGTAAAAGTATTTTGTGGCCAGGAAAAAAACAAAGCCATCATCATATATAAATTGCACAGTCTTGCAGATTTCTGCAACAGTAATTTTGTCAAGCATTTCTGAGAAAAATATTATCCTGGAACAGATAGATGTTTCCTTGTAGATCTGCCATTCAAAAGCCTACTTGAGTATTCTTCATTGGGGTGAATTTTTTGATAGAACTTATCTCCAATTCCATTGAGAATAAGGATCCATGTGTTCTGTTTGGGGAAATGCAAAGCAAGAAAATCAGAATATGTTTACCATCAGTATGTGCAATGGCTACTAGATATTTTAATATACTGACCTGATTGCCATACATCTTAAGCAGAACACTCATATTTCTCTTTGTGGCTTCTTCAGTGTCAAGCTCCCTGGCAATGCTAATTTCTAGCACAAAAGTGTTAGAGTTTCCACTCTCTCCCAGTGACACAATACAAAAAACTTGTTCTTTAGTGTTCATGTTTCCTTTATGGTTTTTCTTCAGTCTGTCAATTATATATTCAAACTCAGTTTTATCTTCTCGTGTGCAACTGATACCATTCTATTTAATTTGCACGCTCTGTTGTGTGCTCTTTTCATGTTTCCCATAGACATTACTGACTGCTGTGTCATAACAAGCTTTTTCTTCTTTTCTCTCCAATCCTTCTTGTGTTGTATTTCATAAGAGCTACAAATTGGTATTGAGTCACCAGGAGAGCTAGGTAGGAAATAAATCTATTTTCCTCACAAATTTTATCATATTGAAAATTACTTCACCCTGCATAAAATGGAAATTCCCTAATTATTATTTTCAGGGAAAAATTATGCATGACATATGAGGCACGTGAATTAGAAGAGGGACTTGAGAAGAGGCATTTAGACATTTGTGATATAGAGGCACTTTGATGCACGCACAGTTATCTACTTGCACATACATATTGGGCAGCTTCAACATTAGAGACTGAGTAAAAGAGGTGCCAAATTTGTAATCCAGTATTTTTAAGCTATTTCTATATCTCAGTTTGTGCACAGCTTTGCAGATGTTTGTTCTTTTATAACATTTCCTTTTTTGAAAGCCCACCTCTGTTACCTACTCTCACATTGCAGGTAAAATGAGAACTGATGTTCCATTTAGTGAACGCAGTGACTGAGGAATAAAAAAAAGACTCTCCAAATGACTGTAAATGCAAAACTCTTTGATGATATAACTCTCAGGTCAACATCAAACCTTGAAATTTAATAGAAGTTTAGACCTTAAGAAATATTTTTGGTTGTCTTTGTCTTTTTGAAGGAATTGAAATTGATTTTTTTCTTAAAAAAGTGTACCTGAAACTTTATTCCTTCACCTGCACTTATAGTCAGAGAGCTTATTTGTTTAAGACTTCTGTTTTTCACAGAAAAACTGATGTGTTAAGTTGTGCCTTGCATAATTTGTACAATAGAAAAGGCAACTGTTTTTATAAGAATATGAGATAAATTTTAAAACTTACTGTTTGGTAGATTTGAATAACATAAAAATATAGCTAATATTAGGAGGCTGAAAAATAGGAATTAAATTCTTGAACATATGATAGCTATAAAATTATGAATTACCATGATTTTTTACAAATATGCATTAATGATTATGAAATTTAAGATATGATAAATTAGATTTTTAAGCATCTACAGAATTTTCATTCAGATTTCCCATTCATTGAAGGAAGAACAATTATTTCTCCCGAAATATGTGTGCCTCGTTCCATCTTCACACCTGGATCTAAGTATTTTCTGATTTATTTCTTTATAAGATGCTGTGGCAGCAGAGCTGACTTTTCAGGCAATGTGTGTTCATTAAGGAGGAAAAATGCTTTATTTTCTATTTCTGTGCCAATGTCTTAGGCACAGTACATGAGGCAGTAGCATAAAAGAATGAGAACTTTCTTGACACTCCAGTTGTCTCCAAGTCAATGAAGATTAGGTAGATGAACACATCCTGTACCATTGAAAAAGCAGGCAGCTTTTGACTCTGTGTTATGTTTGTGCTCCAAAAACTGAGTAAATGAACCTATGGGGGTCTCTACACAGCTGTGGTTAGACTGGCTTCACAGCTCAGACTGCATGAAGTTACTAAGCATCCAGATTTTCCAGGGCACATTCTCCTTCTTTACTGGAAATTCTGTTGATGCAATTTTTGAGGATTTTCTGTATCACTCCAGGCTTTCCTGCTGCCAATTGTTAGTACTGACAAAGTAGCCCTATATTAAGCTACCTCATGTCCATACTAGAAGCATGGATCATGTGTACTATCCATGAGCACTGTATTGGGCAGAAAGTGCTAGACTTGTTGTACAGATGTTGCAGTCTCCAAGGCTTATACAGTAGACCTTATCCCTTTTGTACTTTGGACATGCCCAGGATTTCTGAGAAGAAACTCGATAAATTGTACAGCTGACATGTATCTGTTTGGTAAGTCCTGTGACTCCCACAAGAAATTTGGCAACACTGAAATTTTGAAAGTTGTAGGCTCACATGGAGAAATATGACAGCTCTGTGCATGTGTACTTCCAAAGTCACAGTTTAAAGGGAAGAGATAGTCCATGTGATTTTGCAGACTCATCTGCTGAGACATGACTCTCAATAGGACATGACAAGTGATCACAGCTTGACTTGTTCTCAACAGTTTTGTGTACAGAATTCTGCAAACAGGAGCTGAAGTACATGGATATTTGTGAGATGTGTCCTTTTCAGCTCATAGAAAAACAATAAATCTTAAAAATAACTGTAAAATGCAATATATTTCCATTACTAAATTCTTAACCCAAGTGTTAACAATTTCAGCAGTGTCTTAATTTTTCTCTTAATTGCTCTTTATTTGAGATCTATCCTCAGCTTTGACTCATGAACATTAGAAAAAACAAAAGTCCATAACAGACTTGGAATAGAATTTCAGATTTGTGCTGTGCAAAATGGGACTTCCAAATTCCCAAAATAAACAATATTACAGTTAAATTATGCATATAAAATTATTTGCCACTTACAGTTTTGGGATAGAGACTCTTAAATCTGTAGTTTATTTGCTCAGCTCCTTCCTTTGTTAATTCAGAGAATATCAAACACCTAACATTTTTCCAAGATTCCTGAGCCTGTTCCCATGTCCTGAGCCCACAAGGATTCTGTAAAATGCTGCAGGAAGACTTTTACTGGAGATAGAAATTAAAGTAGGAAGCCATAAGGTTTTCCTCTAAGGAAACATTCACAGGTCCCTTCACATAGTGTATGCAGGGTAGTCTGTAATAGGAGGGTTGAGACAGACCTGGATTTCCAGCACGATCACTTCGTGCAAGATTTAGGTACTGTTATGACCTACCACCCAGTCTAATTCAGACTGTCTAAATTATGTCTGTCTGCCCCTCAAAATATATTTCTTGACTGTACTAAAGAAGTATAAAAGCTACAAGTCAGCATAGCTTCCACAGCTCCTCTTTAAAATGCAGAACAGAAAATCACTGTGTGTGTCCAGCTGCTGGCCAGGTCAATGCTACCAGCTTCAGCATCGGCACCTTTAACACATGTGAAGATATATGAGGGTATGTATGAGGAGTTTGAGTGGGGAGAAGAGTGACAAATCTGGGTAAAGGGAGACTTAGGATGAAATGAAGCTTGCAAATTTGTTTGTAATAGCTTTTTTTAGGCTTTAATATTTGTCTTTGCAAAGGCAAAGCTGGTCCAGCTAAGCCATTAATAGTACCACATTCAAATAGGAAGTGAACTGGAAACTGCCAAGTCTTTCTCCTGCCCAAACTCACAAAAGAAAAAAAAAGAGGTGGAAATGACTCTTTCAGTGTGTGTCATATTGCAGACAAGAGGGCAGTCAGAAGGAAGGATGACTAGGCACACGTTTTTAAATCAAAGATTTGAATCTCTCAAAGACTAGGACCCTGTCTTTGTAAATGTAATGAGTGGACTTTCTGAAAGGCTGGCTAACTAGCTGGCATTTGGACTTCAAGTGTCAGCAGCTATATTGCATTCATATTAGTTCAGCAGTTCTAGCTTGGAGCTGGGGTTGACCAGGATAAAATTGTTTGCCAAAAGCATTAAAAAAAAGAGGCTACTTTTTTTTTATACAGTGATAGAAAACAAATGATGCTATTGTAATTGAGAATTCTGTTGCTAATTACAGTTGTGTACTGTCACTTGCACAGCAAGAAATGCTTGTTGGAAAAGGAGTCCTCTATCTATTTTTCAAGAATGGAAACAGAAAAAAATTGAATTGGTTGTAGAATATGAATATTAGTTCTTAGAATAAAACTTACTTTATTGTCAAAAAACAGTAATATCAAAGAACATTGTTTTAATAATGAAGTGTTATATGAAACAGCTTTTATGTCACATTGCAGATGATATGTACTTCTCTAGAAAAACATCAATCTGTCTGTTGCTGATATAGATGTAGGTATTATGGTGAAATTTGCTACTTTTATTTTTCATTTAAAAATGCAGCCCAAACCCATGATGATAACTTACCAGCTTGTTTCTCTGTCTCTGGAAGAACTGCCCCAAAATCAGGTATTTTCTCTAACACAATATTACAAGATTATAATGACCATGGTTACTTTTCCTTGTTTTGTTTTTTTCACATATAGGAGACCATTCCCTTATTGCAACAAAATGCAGAGGTACTCAGTGAAGGTAAGGGTGTGTAAAGTTTATAGTCAGAGTTTTACCATTCCCATGTTGTTTGGTGTCAGTGTTAATCCTCATGTACATACATCAGCAGTCTTATTTATGGGTGTTGGTTTTACAAGAAAAGATTTCAAAGAATGGGTAGTTGTATATATAACTACGTAATATATTCAGTTTCGTGTTCAAAAATATTCAAGCACTTCTCATAAGTTACTCTCCAGGAAAATATGATGGATTTTGAACAGAGAGTTCTTTTTTTAAGAAGTGTGAATTATAGTATTTCCTTTTTTTTTCCTGAAAAATGGCAAAAAAACCCCAAAAACCAGCTTTCATTTTAATGTGTGTTCCTTTGAAATGTGTTTTACATCATCATTTGAACAGTATTCAATTTTTTTTCAAAACGAATACTGCATTTTTTAAATTACTTTGAATGTTTGAAGGATTTGGTCACAAAAATAAGAGGCTCTTAAAAATAAGAGCACTGCCGTTGTTTTACTAGAAGCCTAACACCCATTCTAGCTTAAACTGAAGAGAAAGTCTAGATTTTTCTGCTTTCAAGTAGTTTTTCCATAGTTGAAGGAAAGGAAAAAGGCCTTTGATGCCTTTCCTTATACTGCCTTTCTTTCAGTTCTTGAAAACTAGGTGCAAACTAATTTAGAGCCACATATTAACTCTGTGTGTATTGGCGATAATGAAATATTACAAAGCACATTTAAATATAAATTATGTATGTTTCTAATAGCTTTCTCATTTGTTATACCTTATGTTTGAATATTACCTCATCTTTTTTCCTCAGCAAGCATTCTAAATTAATAACTGTTCAGTTCTTCTATTCTCAGTTGCTGAACTATCTCAAAACTTCTTTTTGGACCAGGTCAAACATTTTCAGTAACTACTTATATGAACCTCAGAGAATAAATGTAGAGAAAGTTACATTACAGCACAAAAAGTTATTGAGCGATTGCAAAATCTGGCTACATATCTCCGTGTTTATATTTTGTTATGAATCTGACCTTAATTCTGATTTTCTGATGTGATTTAGTTCAAATCTCTTTCTGTTTAGAAGTAGTTAGACTGATTTGTGTGAGTAGCATCACAGGGGTATAAAGTACCAGAGGCAAGGCTAGGCCTTTTTGTCCTCCAAATTTCTCTGCATTTCTTTCTGTGGGTTGTAAAATATTGCCTCATTAACCTTTCACTGAATAGGAGCTTTGGACAAGGGGATATATTTTTCTTTATGTAGATGAATTTAGGTTTGCAGAAATCACATGTATGTATACCTAACTAGCTGATATTGAAGATTCTAGGGCACAGTTCAATATGTGGTAGTTTACTGAGGCAGACTGCTTAAGCAGTTGCAGATGCAAACCCTATATTTCTGTATAGAGTTGCTTCAGTCACCATTTGAGTTCTTTAGGTTAGTGGGATAGCTTTTAGTTTTAAACTGTATGCATAATAACTGATGTATGGGTAATTTTCTTGTAATTTTAGGATAATTTTTGAGAATTACACTAGTTTAAATTGCATATCATCACTCTATTGGCTCTGTGTGTCTTTTTGTCTTTGCAGAAGAACATGACAATATCAGTTTAAGTACAAAACAAGCATCAGAAAGAGCTGATACGGATATGAAGAGCCAGACAGGGACTAAATCAAAGGATGAAACAGCATCAGAAAATATTTCAGTTTCCAGGGAAACCTGGATTACCTTTGAAGACTTCTGTGCTTGTTTCCAGTAAGGAATAGAGGAATTGGGTTTTATTCCATACAATATACTGTATTACAGTGGTAAAATTAAAAACATGGCTATATAAAAATTGCATCTTCAAAAGAGGTCTTCTTTGTATAGCTACCCTGCCTTTCAGGGTGACTTCAAGGCTACTCTTCAGACCAGATGTACTGTCCCTGTTGACAGTGGGTCTGTGGCTGCAGCCCTGCTCTGTGCCTTGGGTATGTCCTCCAGAATACAGTGGAGAGCACAACCACCAGCTCCATAAAGCAGCTGGCAGACTGCAGCTGGGGTGGAAGATTGTAGGTCATGGAGTGTTGTGGCCATTAGGTGCTTTTACCCCCCATGAGGCACTGGGCAGGCATAGTCTGCATCAAGACAACACAATTCTAAAGAAAAAAAAATTAAAATCTGTTGCCTTCAGCAGAGCTTTGCTTGATCAACTAGATGTTTTATCTCACTCCCTTTTCAATATAATTTCAAGGCATTTATGCCTCTGAAAACATAAAAAAGCTAGTGTACTTGTAGCATCATATCTTCAGCTTCTGTCTTTCAGATTAAAGGAGCCTGGTACAATACATATCCTTTAGAGAATATAAGATTGCTGAGGGAAATAATTTTATCAGAGAAAATTCACCCAGTTCTTTTCCTGTTTAAATGTGTAACTGAGATTTCTTTATGAAGCTTCTATTTTTATAAATAAGTGTTTAAACTCTACTCACTCTCTAAAGGAGAATGTATAAGTTTTATACCAGCCAGCAGTACAGGAACTTTAGAAATAAAAAGTCATAGGTCACTTTAGGCCTTGTTAAGATTTCCATGCTTCTTTTATGTAGTCCTAGGTCCAGGAAGATAGGACATTCAAGGAAAAAAAAAAAAAAAAGCATCACAACCAATTTAATTTCCTTTAAAAGTCTAGCTCACATACAGAGAATATGAAATATGAACTTTCTACCTTATTAGCCAAATGTTAAAGTACTGTTGACCTTTTGTAGACCAATATTAATATTCATTAAGGCCAAAGCATTTGTCAGTTTCTTATCTCTAAATGAGTGAGAGTTTATTTTAACAGTCAATTGATAATGTAGCTGTTAACAGAGCATCTTCATTGACCTTTGAAGAATTTATCCCTCAGAAGAAATTAGGCATCTAAGATTTTGGTATTACCTGTCTGTTCAGTTGAAAGCTTTTCCTTCTCTGTCATGCCTACCTCTCAGATACATTGAAAATAAGAAGAGTGTTCATAGTCCATATCAACTTTGAGAAGTGAGGAATATTTCAGTCATTGTAGGAATTGATATGAAAGCAGTAGATCAGGATTCCTGTGAAGTTTCTGAGTAACCACAGCATTGGTTCGGATCTAATTCCATCCTCCATTAAAGCTGAAGCCAATTATGTCTCCCTTGGTGAAATCAAGACCAGGAAAAAATTGTAGTCAGGAACTATATTGCTTTCTGAAGTTCTGCAAACAGCATAGGACTGAAAAAACGTTAATAAAATAGATAAAACAGTCCATCTTTCAGTTATACTTTGTATAAAATTTCACTACAGTAATTTTTATGTGAGTATGGAAGTTTTAGAGTAATATTAGCATGTTACCAATTACAGGTAGAAAATAAACAAACTAGTGGCCTCATCTCCAATGGAAAATGTTGAAATGCAGCAAATATATGAATTAATTTCCATTGCTTTCTCTGGAGATTAATCTTATTCACCTTTATTATAACCAAAAATGTTGAACCACTTTTGAGAAATAGCTGAGTCTGACTTGTGAAAGTGAAATTAATGTCTTGTGCTATGAAATAGGCATTTACCTAAACTATGTAATTTCTGCTGGTTATTTTCTTACAGTCATATATATATCTTATATTTCAATTTTATATTAGGAAGCTGTATGTTTTCCACAAGCCACATACATATGCTTATAACTATCAGAAGACATCTTTTAAGGTAAATGACTGTATTGTGCTTTTTTTTTTTCAAAGTCTTACATAATTAGATAATACATATAATCCTAAAGGATATTGGCAGAACATAGAGTACTGCTATTACTGAAAAATAATAATGTATTAAGATTACTGTAGTCAGTACAAATGTATCTTTGCAAGCAAATATTTAGCATTATATATATGTGTTTAAGAAAATAAAAAACACTGTGGAATGCTATTGCACAATAACAAAAATTGGCTTATGTGGAGAAAAATGATAGTGAATCAGAACTCCAACCACTCTTTATTTTGATTTAAAACTATCTTTTAACAGTTTGGTGTCTAAATTGAACTTAATTCCAGCTACAGAATCTGCTCTTCAATACTCCTTCATCTTCCCCTGTTACCTAAAACCCAGACTGTGAGTCTGTTTAGCATAACACTCCATTTTCTCTGTAAATGCTAAGTCCTTTTGCCATTTGCGGCATTCTCCTGCGGGGATTTAGAAATACTCTCTAGTTACATTCGAATAATGGAATTTCTCTAAGGCTGCCATTAGTTCATATTATCAGAAGGTTATTCAACATGCTTGAATATCCTGTCCCAGCTCCTATTTTATAGTGTATCTGAAGTGTAATTGTAGAGTACCAAAATGTAAACTCCAGGGGTGAAGTTCATGTAAAATCCTGTACTGAGAAGGTTAACCACATGGATTAATGCTCCATAATTGCAGTACACCTGCAATTTCCCACCTCTCTGTAATCACATCACAAGAAATGTTCCTAATGACTGCACGATATACTTTTGTAAGCCATAATCAGCATTAAGACTGTGTAAGCCTGTGTGCTCTTGTGCCAAAAAAACCCCCTAATCCTCTGCTGTAAAACCATTTTAATTTCTAACATTGAAAGAGATGATATGTTTACAGTATTAGGTAAATTCTGTATCAGTATTAGGTAAATTCTGTATCATGCTTACAAAAGAACATTTTCATATTACAATAGGAAGATAAATATACCCCAAAAATGGATTTCTATAACTCTGGAATATCCAGGAAGACCTGTACTGTAATAGTTCTGAAGAAAGAAGCTCATTCACCATTAGATTTTGAAGAATTACTAGGAACAATAGAATCCTTCTATATTTTCTAATATCGGCATAGGAATAATGCATTAAAGTTAAGAGAGAAAGATGTTGTCCTCATAGAGATTTGTAGGAGAAAAACCCCTTTGTAAGGGAGGAACACTCATATCTACAAATTCAGAGTACTTATTTCTTTTAAGCTTTCTGTAATTAATTAGAATCAGAAAGTTGCAGCAAAACCCAAAATTTTTGGTCTTCTGTTAATTGTTGTTTGGCAAGTAAAAGTATTTCAGTTAGGTACATATGACAGTATAATATAAAAGTAGATATATTCTCATGCAAATAAAAGTTCTGTTTCCTTTTATCTCTTAACTGGACACTATTTTACATGCAGCATGAGGCTCTGGGCTTAAATGACATGTCTGAAATTTGGAAGAAGTAGTGACAATTAATTGCTTACTTCCCATACCATAGCTAAGGTCACCATATCCAAAATCGTAGTGCTACTTTGTATAAGGCCAGTTGGACAGCATTCAGTGCAAGTGAATGAACAAACATCCATTTTTCTATACAGTCTTCTAATGAGGAAGTCTTCTATTATTTACTTGTGGACAGTCTGATGCCCATTGAAATCCTGGTTAGCTTTTCTGCATTAGTATACTGGTATGTTACTGAAGGTAAGGCCAACGCACAAAAGTACATGGCAGTGTTGTGTTTTCCCATTCTTGAGTATGTTTGTGCCGTTGTGTTTGTCTGTTGTTTACTTGGGCACAGTTTGAGAATTTAGCAATAGTTTGAAATAATCAAATTTGTTTTAAGAAATACACTAATAGTCAAGCAATACTTCATCATTATTTCATACTGATGGTGAGCATTTTCATGAAAGAATCCCTCCCTTTTCTGTTTATTATTATTTGCTGGAAGCTTTTAATCTGTATATTGCTGGAATGGATTTCCTTGTGTTTCTTGTGGGTTTTTTTTCTACAAATTCCATTCTTGCAAGCTACTTTATGCCTTAGCTGATCATAGTGCAGCAAAACCAGCACTATAACAAAAGTAAATTCCTGAAATTATTTTTAAACTGGTACACAATAAGTTCTCAAGTACATTTAAGATGGGTTTTCCAAGACCTAACAACTTGAGTTATTTAAATATTAATCCCTTGTATTAAAAACATAGGATGGAATACAGGAGAGCATTTTATGGTAGTTGGCTTAGGTTAATCAGATATTTAAACACTTGACATGGATGTAATTTAATGCATCTAGAGTGGAGTAGAGAGAACCAAAAGAATGCTTGAGAAACCCAAACTGACCATTCTGTTAAAATAATTAAACTGTAAGCTATAAATGTAAATAAATATAATCTTTTTTATGGCTGTTTACTTAATTTGCATGTGGACAGAAAGGATTTGTTTGGAGTTTTACAGCAGCCTCAAGTGACTTGGAAGATGTCTGATGTGATGCCTCAAGTTTTTATTAAATACCTATTTATTTCTTTAACATCATCTAGCCACTCAAGGCATCAGATGTATATATCTCAGAAACACATTTTATAATCATTATTTTCTAGCAAATAGTACAAATAAGCCATGCTTTGTACCACCAATAAAATTTAAGTGACTGTGTTTTTCTGTGTTAGCAAAACCTAAATGAATATTTTAATGAGTGTGAAGTAGCTACAGATTCTGCATAGGTGTGTCTGAATGTTATTCACTATCCCATTATGTGGGTTATGTTTTGTTTTGTTTTGTTTTGTTTTGTTTTGTTTTGTTTTGTTTTCTTAACCTAGGTGCTAAACAAGAACGTTCAACAGGTCTGCTGACGGTTGAATATTTCTCTTGGAAATCTGTGACTCCTGGAGAACTTGTGTTAAAGATGCATACATGTGCAACCAAAGCTACTGTGGTAAATCTTCCTGTTGGGTATGTATGAGGCTTCATTTCTCTCCCAACTCTTTAGTTAAGGCTTGAAATGACTGTTTGCACAGTAACCCAGTAAGAGTTTATTTCCTAAAACATAAGTTTGGGAGTATCAGACTGGTAGATAGCTAGGATTTGGTAAGACTGCCAAATTACCATGAATTTACCAACACTTTTATAACAATCTGAGTTCTTTACTCTTACTTAGGATCATTTAACAAGAAAAATCACATTGACTTGCTAAAAAATATATTTAAATTCCTACAAATTCCTACTTAAAAGTAGGAATCTTTCTAACTAGAACGATTTGAAATGTTCCCTGGCGTAGCAAGAAAAATGTAAGAATTAGCATTTTTGGTGGAACTGTAAAAGCATGGTGATACCATAGGAAGTTTCAATGCTTTTCTTGAAAAAGGATTCAAGAGACTTGACAGGAGAAATTCTGTTATCCATGAAGTCTTGCATATCTTACTTCCCATTCACATATTGCTTAATGTGATTTTTTATTTTTGCATGTAACTCTAAATATTCAGTGTGGGGCATTGGCTGATTGTTTAAATAAAGAATAGATAAAAAGCAAGAGCCCTTGCTATGTTATTTTTGGAAAACTCTTCCAGGGAAACTGGGAAAAATGACATCTTCATGTCCTGTCATAAGCATAATATTCCTGCCTAATTAACTGAGTCCTTCTACTTTCCCAAAAAGAGAAAATTATCAGTTAAAATTCAAAGAGATGAAGCGAAATGTATTTTTAAAAAATTAAGTAATTTATATGTCAAATAAATAGGCATAGAAAGAAAATACCACAACTCTAGCATACTGAAATTAAGCCAAAGATCCTTAATAGTGCTCTTTATTGTTTTGATTCAGGCTAAAACTGGAATAGTTATTATTATGTTTATAGACTAAATTCACATCTAGTTCTGGATTCACATGTATTTTCTCAGTGTAGTTTCTAAAAGCTGTATCTCTCTGTACTGTAGGGGGGCCAAAAATGTGTATCTTTTTGCACCTGATAAGCTAAATATATACTATCAGCTCAAATTTATAAGCTTCCCACCTTTGATTCTCTTTACTCCAGTCAGAGACAAGAGTCAGATTTCATTTACAAAAGGTGTGGGAGCAAATGGGCTTATTGATCACTTCCCCATTTCATTCCAAAAGAGAAGTCACTTGGTAAGCATGGAACGTATTCTCTTCCCACTGTCTGTTAGTGGCTAAGGAGCCTTTAAATTTCAGTTGAAAGAAGATGTAATTAAAAATTACCAGTGTGTCCGGGGGGCATGAACTCTCCTTTCTTACTCTCACTGCTGAATCTCTGGTTAACACGTGGAATCTGTGGCCTGGATAAGCTTCTTCACCTAAATACAATTCTGACAGTGATGTTACCAACTGCATGAAAGGAAAAGCTTAAGAATTGTTGCAATTAAAAAAAAATTTAAAAAGTTGTTTGTTTGGTTTTTTTTCTCGATTTTAGGCGACACATCCTTCTCTTCACAGTAACTTGTCCCATAGGGCACCACATTCAGCTGTGTACCATGGTGCCATGTGTCTTTGGAGAAGAGGATGCTGTGCTGCCAGCTCTTCAGAAGGTGTGCATAATGACTAATCAAACATTGTGATAACATGTTTTCTAACTACTAATTAAAGTGAAGTAGTATTGGATTTCCATTGAGTTATTATCTTCAATGGTATAGTATTAATTTTAATATGAAATTGGTAAGGGCATAAAAGATATATGGTTTACAGCATGACAGGTACTGGATGCATAGTACAAAAATTATCTTACATAAATATGTAAGTTAAAATTTGGTAGTATTGTGGTTTACATAAAAGTGCAGCATAAAATGTGAAAAATGCTCTTGTTGAAATACATATGTCAGGGTAGGGTATAACTCATTCTTTGAGGCATGTCATAAAATACATGTAAAAATATTAATTAATATTTAAAAATACCAGCCTATTTAAATAAAATCTCGCATCAGTGAAGTATGTTTGGTCCCATGAGATCACATATTACTCACCAGGTCTGAAAGCAACTTTTATATGTAAAATGAGCAATTTAATCAAACAACTTTTCATAGCTGAGATAAGAGGCCCAGGGGAGAAATTACTACAACTTTTGTTGTTCATTGTCCATAATCCAGACACCACTGTCATCCATATTTTCAAGGTTTCTCTAGCAAGCATTAGGCCCAAATATTTGTTGAAGTCCCTGAGGGGAGGGAATATATTTTCTAGAGAACATTTGTGCAAAAACATTTTAAAGGGTGAGTGTAACAGCAAATTTACATAGCAGTGTAGATTCTGGGTCCTAATAATAGAGCACTAAAACAGCTTGTGCAAATGTATCACATTTACTGTAGTAAAGAAGTTGAAATATAAGAATTTGGATCATTAAAAATATGTTGTGGCTGTACTATCCCCTTGCCTTCAATTTTTTGATGAAAAGTTATTTCACATCAAGAAAATAAAGCAGAATTGTATCCTTGGGTTTTTCCTGTCCTTCTTTTTGAAGCAACTTCTTTGCAGGCTGTCATTTGCAGGAAAGCGTCCACATGCTTGCACAGAAATCCTGATGAAGATTATTCATCATAAGGATGTTTTAGGCAGCATGTATTTGATCATTGCTTTCAGCAGGATACTAATACTAATTTGTCCTTGTGTAACAGAATATGCTGAGTACTTCAGCTGTCACTATTGTCACTGCAGTAGAAAGTCTCTATATGGATCTTATTTTTGATTACATTTCCTAGGATTAATGATATAGGAAAAATGAAACAATTAATAGATATAACTTATGGTGCCTGTTATTTACTTCACTAGCTAAAATCAGTGAGAAGTTGATATGCTTTTGAATATCAGAGACATAATCGATTTTACAGTTTATAATATTAAGAACAACCAAATGAATTCCAAAAGTTTTGCACTTCATCACAGAAAAAACACCCGTATTCTTTCATGGCCCAGAAAGAAACCAAAGAAAATCTTAAGGCAATCATTCTAATGCTTGGTTTATTCTCTTTCCTCAGGAGAGCATTCGATTTATAGAACAGGCTACAGCTATCCTGAGTGCTGTTGGAAATGTGATAAATAATTACAGCAGTAAGGATGAGCTTCCTAAAGCCTTGAAGGAATTGGAAGTAGCTTATTGTCCTCCTGGCCTCCATGATACTAAAATAGCTAAAGAAAACAGCAAGGTGAGCAAATAGTTTGAACGAGCACATATCTAAAAGCTACAGAATCTGGATAACTGCTTAATGTTGTCATTATCCTCTTCAAAACAATGCCTGTGCACTTAACATGGACCACCTGCATGCTGTGAATGTGGCATTCACTATAAAGTCTAAGCCCAAATGACATAACTTGCAACTCTATGATAATTATCTTCTTTTAAGAAGAGAAATTTCAGTGTGCACAGAGTAGCACATTCTAAATTGAGTCTATTTTTGTTGATCTCGTTTAGCATACTTTGGGGCAGAAAGCATGAGCTGTGTTTATATTAAAACTTCATTTTGAATTTGAAAGAAACTGCCTGAAATGCAGAAAAGTCTAATGGTCGCTTTCTGTGCCTAATGTTGATGGAACAGGAAAACATTATTACAGATTATATTTCTGAAGGCAGTAATGAGTTCACATTATTCCAATTTGGTTTTCTCTGTTTCTTGAAACTACAGCATTCTTTTTCAACTTTTCTGCTCTCTATGTGCAATAAATTAAAGATAGATGATGAAAACATTACATTTTTCTGTAGATCTCTATGCTATATCTTTCCAATATTATAAAAAGATTGCAACAAAACATTTTTATAGAAGATACACTAGTTTTTATGTGTATGCAAATATTGATCATATTGCTATAACTTGATTTTTCTAAAGTTAGTATTTTATATATTCCAGATTAATTTATTTTCATCAAAGTACTAGAATGCTCATGCAGTTTAGACTGTTTATGCATAGATTAGAAGACTGAATAAAAAAAAGGGTTTAATATTTTTTATAATCACTGATATTAAAAATTAGAACATTAGCACTTTTATACATGGGCTGGACACAAGCTCAAATTCAGCAAAATAAAAGAATTTATAAAGAATGATTACAGGTGCACCACTCATGAAAGAGGTAATTTACATGCCAAGTCCACCATGAAAAAGAATTTGCTTTGAACTCAGGAATGGAATAAACAAATTTTAAATGCAGATGCTCATGTGAAATATGTGCAAAACTTTGAGACCTAAAGAAAAATTCAGTAGTCATAAACACACAAGTCCGTTAATTTCTCCTCCTCTAAGAAGACCAATGTCTAGCTGAAAAAAAAATGACAGAATTAGATAAATGAAAGGCACTGAGCTGACAGTGATTCAAGGATGAAAATAAGGAAATTATCGGTCCTTGATTCAAGGATGAAAATAAGGAAATTATCGGTCCTTGATACAAGCAGTGAAAAATTGTTCTGAATACAAGAAAGGATCTATTGTATTCTTTCTTCCCTAGTTTTACAAATTTAAAAATAAAGGACATGTTTATTAGTATTAAAATAAATAAAATATGTTTTCAGGAATCAGAAAAATCTGAAACTAAGGGCAATGAAATAGAAAAATCTTGTATTTTCCAGTAAATTGTTATTATGTTCTTAAACTCAGATTATGAAACAAGTTCTGTAAAAGACACTAAAATTCCCATCTACTAGGAGTGGGGGAGGAAAATACTGGATTTCTGCTCTTTAAGGAGAAACAATATGTCAAAGCATAAAAATAGAGCCAAATCTTCCCATGCTGTGACACTTCCTAATCCCAAAAGCATTCCCATTAAATTACCTGTCTCTATTCTGAAACCTCGAGTTTAGAACTCTCATTGTCATTATTATTTGTTCTTCTGTCCTCTGGTATGAGGCCATCAACCCCCTACATATAAACCAGGATGTATCTCGGTGATAAACACACCGTAGAATAAGTCCTATTTTCTTGTTTTATTAAACCAAGCATGAAACGGGTTTTCTCTCTGTTGTTGTCTTGAAGCATTATAGTTCTACAGTTGGGATTAATTTTCAGGTACAGTATTTATTAGAGGAAGTTAAATATTTCATTTATAAATGGTAAGAGAAGAGGGAAACAGTTTTTGAAACAATAATGAGAAGTAATATAAATCAATATTTATAAATGAGTCATTCTTTGAATGCTTTTCCTCATTCTGATTTTAGGTTTTCAATAAGGCATTTTGGTATTTGATCAAATGTGTATTTGACAAGAAGGAATTTTGCAGATATAAATTTGCCTTCAGATCCTTTACTTTGGATTTTGAAGCCACTGATATTTCTGGGGATGACACTGTGTTTTCAGGTAATGTATTGATATTGCTAATCACTTCAAATATATCTGCCCATTCTTATTTTCAAGGAAGCCAACTCTTCTCTGTTCTTGTTTTTTCTTGGTTAAGTTGGCACAGTTAATTTTTAAGCCTAAGACTTTTACTGTTGACAGGACATCTGAGGCTCATCTCAGAATAGAAATGATCCTTTTCTTTGTTCCAGAAAGTCTGTTTACCATTTGTTAATTTATAAAAATGCCCTTGGTCTTCTTTGAGTTACACTTGTCAGAATTAACAAACATTAACAAATATCTGCATTTTTTTACCTGTTGTACTGGACCTCATCACTTTCATTCAAATTATCAGCTGGAAAGACCTTAAATGCCTGTATTGTTCACGGAATGAGAGTGAAGGAAGACTCAAGTTAGTACCTTCATTTAAAGTTCAGCTCTTTCTTGGTGTTGGGTTGAGAGGTTTTTGTTTGGTTGGGTTTTTTTGGGGGGAGGGGGGTGTGTACTTAAATTTCTATTGTTTTGTTTGCTTGCTTGTTTTTTAAGCTTGTTATTTGGGAAATGACTGTGTTGCCTGGCTAATTGGCTGGCTAGTCATACCCATGTAGTGAAACTGGCTGCAGCACCAGCTGCCTCTTTTCCAGCCTGTGGTCAGGGTGTGCTGTGTATCTGAACATACTCTGACAGAACCATTGGAAGGCCAACTTATTTATTACAAGCAGGGATCATTCTCTTCCCGCTGTTTCTTTGCTTCATTTTTTATTCAGCTGTGGAGTTTTACACAGTTAGAATTAAGTTTGCCTGGCAACAAAATATGTGGATCTTTTCCATTTTAGGACTTACTTTTCAGTCTCTGTAGCTTCTTAATCTATTAATGCTAGCATGTAGTTTGCCAATAAAAGCCTTATATACATGGTTTCATATCACAACAGAAAAATAATTTATCTGATTGATGGGAAGAGACATGAGCACCATTTGAAGGCTTTTTGTGGGTACTTAGCTTTTTCTTTGTCTATTGTGAATTTACAGAATAAAGTGTTTCTACTTGATCAAACAAAATGATACTAACTGCCTTTTGATTAGTCAGTTTATTCTGGAAAAATAGTATAAAAACTAAATTCAAATTTATACAAATATCTTTACTGACACAATGTTGTCATACTTTTGTCCCTTTAAGAAAGCACTTACAAGCACATAAACTTCTCTGTCTTTACTGGGAACTTTCCTCTAAATCTCTTCTCTTCTGAAGGTTATTCTTCCTGTGAGACATCAGGTATTTTTCAGAGAATTGCATCCCATGACAAACATATGTTACAAGGGTCAGCATATTAACATTTATCAAACCACTTAAAGTAAACAACACCTGTCACATTTTTTAAAGATTACTGTACTACTGATTCCTGCATTCCAAAAAAAACCCCTTAAACACTTGTCAGCATTAGAAGACATTTTTAAAATAGATTTGAATAATTAGCACAGTTGACAGGTTGTAGCAAAGATCTCATATAAATGACTAAAGTATGAGATCCACTGTGACAGAATATTTTTTAGGAGTTGGGCAGTGAATTAAAGTGGAATAAATATTTGGAGAAAGAAAGTTCTATTTCAGTTTTATTTCTTCCAGTGTCCTATATGTCCTTTTAAATTATTCTCTTTTCTAAAATTAAATTACAAGAGATCCCTATTGGATTGGAAAGGTAATTGTTTCCCTTTGGTTTTATTGATATTGGACATTTTTTGACCTTTATTGACATTTTGCCCTGCTTAATAAAAGTTGCTTTGGAGTAATTGCATGCTTTTGTTCAGGTTCCATCCAGAAACCTAAAAAAATGAAGCATAAACCAAGTGAACTGTCAGTGAAAAAGAGGTAGATAGCAGGAAATACCAGTTGAAAACTACATTGTAGAAAGGCCTAGAAGGATTGGCATCAGCTGAATGCCCTGCCCCCACATTAGCTCTGCTGCATTGTCAGGTTAGTCAAGTCTTGTCAAGACTTGAGGTTGTAATCTTTTGGAACGTAACAGACATCAGTGTAAACTACCATAACAGATGAATGAAATATTTTTGTTGTCTGGGTCTGCAAGGATATCAGGTCAATTCTGAGCTTTTTTTGAAACAGCACCTCCATTTTTTATTGGCATATTCATTTTTCACTGTGTGCTGAATTAATCTCAAGATTTAACAAGGGCAGGGATTATGATTTACTGCAGTTAGTGGTCATGCCTGCAAAGTTTCTGAGAAGCCATCCTGAAAATTATCTGTTCATATCTATTTGACTGCCAAGTATCATCCATCCCTAAGGAGCAATTAGCAGAAGAGCCACAAGAAACAAATGGAAGTCCGTGCCATGTGAATATATGAAAAAAAAGATGGAAGTATCTGAAACTGAGAGCTTCCCCGTGGCATGGCTCTTCTGTTGTATTCTGGGAGGAACTGTGCATAAAGGGGCCCTGCAGAACTTTGGGCAATCATGAGGTACTGAATTTATAGAGGTATGTGATGTTTCCTGGGAAAGGAAGCACAGCAGGATGCCTGCCTGCTCTTTGTTGCATATGTTATTTACCTTGTCCTGGTTTCATAGGGCCCAATAGTGAGCCAGTCGGGTCACTGTAGGTTTGTGGCACAGATTTTCAAGAGTCTCAAATACTTAACAGTCATTTAGGCACATTTCAGGGGCTACATTTCTTTCTCAAGGATAAATTCCAGCTTTGAAGTTGGAAGTCGAGTGCCCCTTGTGTACATTTCTCTTAAAACCTTCTGGTCTGAAATTTTATCAAGAAGTCAACCTGTTCTCTGTAAGCTTATCTTGACTGTGAAACTGTATTTGGAAGTTCTGCTCAGTTCTTTTTCAGAACAAGCTTCTCTCTCCTCCAGAAACATAGGTTAAGATCATTGATTATACGGTTGTGTTGTGTTACGTTACATTGTGACTGAAAAGAGAATGCTGAACGTTTGTTTCTTCTTGCACTTTTGATTTGAACTTGAGTTCTAGTAATAGGTGAGGGAAAGTTTGACATTATTTGGTTGAATATGTAAAATGCCTCTTGAGTACATGCAAAATACTCCTTCTTCAAAAAATCATTCCTACACTGTCTCCAGGAACTGCAGTGATTTTATGGTGAACAGTGTCTTGCTAGGCTGCTTTGAAAGCTTCAGTTTTATTACTAGCATGGTGTCTTCTGATTAACAGCTAAGGTGTGTCAGAGATTTTTGACAAATCTGTTTACAATCATAATGTCAAATTTGAAACATCCATTAGTTCAATATTGATGGACTGAAAGCATTCACTAGTTCAAGATTGATTCAAAGCATTTCACAGTATGCATTTCTCTGCTTATAAGAAAAAATATTAAGAAATGTTAAGTAAAAAAAGCCTTGAAAGATCAGAATATTTAATTAAGACCTCATTATTTTGCCTAAATGTTGCAAAAACTATTTTTGTTCTTATGACCTTGCTTAAAAAAATGAGAACAAAAAAAAAACTCCTTAGGAATATATACTCATAATTTTTGTGTTTCAGCCTGATCTGTGGTAACTTTTGAGAGTTTCTATAAATAGAATTGATTTTTGCGTGACAGTCCATACAAATTTTTTATATTTGTGTTTTCGGAAACAGTTTACCATTTAACTAACTTACTGTGTATCTATATATTCTTTCTCCTCACAAATGAAATGTTTTATTTCTAGAGTTATAGGTATTTATTCCTACTTATGGAGTCCACTTGACATCTTCAGTGGATGAAGTTTTTGTCTAGTTTACAGGGCAGCACCTCACCAATACTTTTTGTATTTCCTTTTCTATATTATTGATTCCTGCTTCATGTTAGGATATTCTTACCTATTAGGCCACTCTGTGTATATGTGTGTTCATAGATATACAAGTGTTACTTTATAATTCATTATTTTGCCTTATATGAGGAATGTAGGCTCTGCAGCAGAACTCATTTTTCTGAACCAAAGCATGAACTGAAAATCAACGTCTCTTTCCCTTCCATGAAGACAATGATTAGTGGGGCCAGATGTCGTCTTGCCACTGGGTTATTTAATTGTAAAATAGACAAGTCTGTAGATTGAACAAATTCATTTTGAAGTGTGTTACAGTGACGAATGAATGGGAGAGCCAAAACCTTTCCAGAGATGTACAAACAGGATACTTCTTAGAAAATGTTAAATTCCAGCTGGATATTAGGAAAATTTTTTCACCATGAGGCTAGTCAAAAATTGAAAAAGAATGCCCACTTAAATTATGGAGTCTCCATTGTTATGGAAGTGTCAAAAAATGGACTGGGCATTTATTCAAGAACAGGAGCAACCTGTTCTAAATTAATCTGGTTTTGGATGTGGGATTGGACCAGATGACCTTCAGTGGTCCATTCAAGTCTGTATTAGTCTGTGATTGGTTATATATTTCTGTTTTATAAAAGTGGCTGTGCCATTCATATTGTTGACTTCTAATGTGGTTTTCACTGAAGTGGGGTTGTGTAATCTTCCATTCCCCAAGCATTAAAGAGGCTTTCTAGGTTTTGGAAGTGCAATACTGACAAGAAATGATGGTTTGAGAACACAGCCAGATTTAGTAATATGGAGTAAAAGTGATCAGATTGACATGTGTGATCTGACTGATGAAAGCAATATCTTAAGATAGTTTGTTTGCCTGCAATGTTGTCTACGTCTTTCAAGCAGATTCCTCTTCTCCTTTTTGTTTGTTGGTACCTCCTTTTGCAGCACTGTTTCCTTCCTATCATGCTGTCTTGCTCCCTTTATTCCATATGTGTGCAGTTTGAATCTACCACTCTGGCACTGGTCCCTTGGAGTGTTGCCCCCCACACCCTTCCCTAAGTCCTGGTACTGATGGCTCCCAGGGTGCTAATTTCTAGGCAAGAATGCCTTCAAAGACCTCATTGCTAACCTGTCAGAATCCACAAATTTCTATTGCACTTCGAAACTCCTTGGTAACATAAAGTCAGAAAAATGAACTCTCCCTTTAGCATAGAACTTTCGCATATTCCATCGCTCCTTTGTGAAGGTTAAACAAAATGTTTTGAACAACACTGGTGTTGAAATTATTACTTAATAAAATTATCAGATTGAGAGATAAAAGTAATTAAAATCTTGTGAAGCTCTTTTAAGCTGTGTACATAGTCAGGATTTAGTGTATCTAATCCTCTTGGTTCATGTTTGGAAGAACATTTTGAAATTACAGTAGGAGATATGTTTTTAAAAAATGTCCTGCAATAGCTGTCCATCAAGAGAAAAATTAAATTATTTGATGTTGGTAATTAGAAAAGTAACTGACATTTTGACTTTGTGTAATTATATAGTATATTTTCTCCAACATGATAAAAACAAAATTGCAAGAGTGATATTTTCATCACAGAAGATTTATGCTTGGAATCACTCCCTTGCTGTTTTGTGGTTTTTTTTTTTTTTTTTTTTTTTTTGGTTTTTTTTTTTTTTTGTTTTGTTTTGGTTTGAAAGAAAGAAAAAGAAAGGGGTAAACAGGCAGCAACAGGAATTCCAGCTCTGTTGATGTTACTCATTCTTCCAATCGTTCAGAGAGCAGTGAGGAAAAATTCCTTAGTAGTTGTGAGAATCAAACTCCCACATCTGAAGAAGAAGAAGCAGCTCTCAAAATTCAAGCCATCTGGCGAGGGACCTATGTTAGGAAAATACTGAAGAGCAGAGAACCAGGTGTGTCATTTAAAAATGCCTTTCAAAAATGTTTCATACTTCATCTTATTCAAATCTTCACTGTAAAGAGTTTTTTTCTAATTAATATCTAGGTAAAATTGACTGAAACGAATGAAATAGAACTTGTAGTTCTATTAAGTAGACCTAGCCACTCAGTTACCATATATGATACTAAAAAGTATCTGAAAGATACACCCCCCTAAATTTGCATAGATGCTAAACCAGAGTTTATATTAATGTATATTTAGGTCAGAGCTGGGCTAAATGTTAGGGTTTTGTTCTGGAAATGTAAAGGAAATCATAAAAGAACCTAAGTGTCATAATGAGTAGTCTGTGGAACACACACAGTATCAAAGTCTAGTGCTGTCCTCCAAAGATACTGTACTGATACTATCCATCATTCTTGTGCATATAGATAGAGGAATCTTGCATAGCAGTTCAGGACTTGTAGCATATTTCCTATTCAGCAGTTCTACTATCTCAGCTGGAATACTGTGCCCAAGTGCAGTATCTACAGTCCAGGAAGAAAGGAATATAACAACCACAAAATTCTGAGCAGAGTTGTAAGGATCGGGATTGAATATAGGCCTTGTACTTACAGGTTGTTAGTTTGTCATTTCAGAATTTTTAATTTTATAGTATAATTTTTAAGTACCCACACGAGAACAGGAATTTCCTAGTAACAGTCTCTTTAGGCTGATATCCAAAGGCTAACAAGAAGATCTTTAGTCTGAGATTCAGAGTTTGTGGCTTGAATCTGGACACATTCAAGTTAGAAAAGTGGTATTTATTTTTAAAAAGATAATGTATTTATTGGAATAAACCAAGATTTGTATTGTATTACGGAAAGCTTCACATCTTCATCTGTAGTCTTCATCTGTATTCCATGTATAGAAGCAGACACCTTAAGATGACATCACATCCTGTTATGTGAGTTATCCAAGACAGATGGGGAGAATTACACATTGGAGCTGCCCAGTTCTTTTCCGGGTAGCTACACAGATAGTTTAGGTACATCCTTACCCCTTCCTGGTATCTGCAGATGAAAGCTGCAGAGAGTTAAATAGCATATTCTGTGAGAACAGAGACTGCCAAACATGCTACAACATTTTACAGTGAAAAACTGTAAATTGGAGAAAATATTGATCACATAATTTTTGCAAATGTAGGTGTGCTGAAAAGTATAAAGATGGCGATGAATGGAATATACTCTGTCAAAGGGAAAAACAGTTTTCAGCTCAGTGAGACTTCTATAAAACTCCAAATAAATAAGGCAATTTACTTGTACAAGTGATATTTTTCAGAAGTATTTGGCAGGTGTAAATTTAGAACAATAGCAAAATTGGATGTTATATTTTATAAATTATTTTATTATCGCTAGGTACTAAAGAAAATACTGATGTTGAAGAAACTTTGAAAAACCTGTGGACTATGATTGAGTTAAATTTTGAACAGTGTGCTGTAACGTTGTTAAGGTAATCATGCAATAAATCAAGCTATTTTATTGCAGGCAGTTGTCATAAACTGTTGGGTTTTTTTCACAAAATAAGCATGGTAAGAACATTATTAGTGTCCAAATTACAAAACCCTGATGGAAGGGATGAAATGTTTTTCACTAAATATATTCTGTGCTTTATTCTGTGTACCCTACATGTTTCCATTTATTTTTTAAATCTAAAATATTACCTTTTGCATGTATTTAATTTTTTTAGTATTTGGTAGGGTGTTCCATAAGTATAGATCTGATACTGAATGCTTAGTTAAGCAGTTAACCAGTTGATTTAAGGAAACTTTTTGATTTGTGTTATCTGTTAAGCAATCGTGATTGACAATAGAAAGAAGAGAGCTTTCCTATGTAATTGTACACAGTTTATTATCTCAACAGGGAACATTTTTGTTGAACTTCCTTGAAGTAAATGTATTTCTAGGTAGTAGAAATGTAGTAGGTATATTTCTATGCTTTCCCTGATATTTTATTATAGCTTTTGGAAAGATGGCTATTCTAATTTCAACAGTGTTCATTAAGTCATTTGCAAGCCTAACACTCTCTGGGGATCACATATTTCCATTAAGTCCTCCAAAAATCTCTCTGCAAGTGTTCACACAACTGATTTAGCAGTAAATCAGTTCTTCCAAGGGTGAGGAGTGAAAACTGGCAATAATTACTACCTGTTGATATAAATCCTCGCTCTTTATAATTGCTTTATAACCAGCAATTTGAGCAACACTCACACCAGGTATAATTTCATTTCACCTTTTAGTGTTTCTAATCTTATAAAACCTGTGTACATTGATGGGATCAGGACTTTGCAACCACAGCCTTGTTTCAAATATTAGCCATCCATTTTAGACTTGTAGCATTTCTACATCAGAAAAGATGAGATGCAGTTTTTAGCCTGCCTTCAGACATAAAACTTCTGGGGTTCATAGGCATTGTCCTGAGGGATAAATTTGAGTGTTAAAATCATGCTAATATGCTTGTGCTTAATTTTTTTTAACAGCTGGCAGATTTCTATTTAACATAACACTTTAGCACCTTGGCCAATAAGTTTTGCTTTTATTCCTTTGTTGTTCCAAAAAGTTTTAAAACCAAATAAAGGGATTTTAATATCCTAATGATTCCACAGCTTTAAAATGACAAATTAATATAGAGAAAGTGAAGTTATGCTAACTGATATTTCTTAAAAAAAAAAAAAGAAAGAAAGAAAAAGAAAGGGGTAAAGTTTTGTAGAAGCCGTAACATCTTGGGATATTAGAAATAGCTGTAGTCACGGCTAGACTGATGGATAGAAATATGTGTCTATATTTGCCATGAAGTCTGAAAGAACTGATCCCTCCATGATTTTTTTTTTTTTATTTAAGAGTGAACAACTACTAGAGAAACATTAGTAACACATTTTACGTTATTTTACACTCATGCAGAAGGTAGTGCTCTTCATGATCAGTATGTCAATATATATATATGCCATCCTGATTAGATTGATGTCTTTATCTTGTTTTCTGCTTCCCAGAGAAATATTTAAAAGAAACTGTAATTCAGTTGAAAAGTTTACTTGTTATGATGATGAATGGTGTAAGATGTATTTCACTGACTATACAGTAACATATGCTGATCAACCACCAAATGCCTGGTTTCTGGTTTTCAGGTGAGTTTCACAGAGTGCTATACAACTCTCATGGGAGAGTAGTATTGATACACTCTGGTTTTTCATTAACCTGCTTAAAAAATTTACTTATCTGTCTGCTTTCCTTAAATTCTGGCATGTACTTGTTCTGACTTTGGCTGGTAAAAATATTGATAACACACTGATGTTTTGGTTGTTGAGTGCTTCTCCCAAGTCAAGGACTTTTCAGTTTCTCACACTCTGCCAGTGAGGAGGTGCACAAAAATCTGGGAGGAAGCACAGCCAGGACAGCTGTCCTGAAGTGGCCAAAGGGATGTTCCATACCAGAGAATGTCTTGTTCAGTAGATAAACTGGGGGAGGATTACCTGCAAGGGGGCTGACCACTGCTCAGGAACAACCTGGGCACTGGTCAGTGGGTGGCGACCAATTCTACTGAGCATCATTCATTTCTTTTGGGTTCTGTTACTCTCTCTCCCTCTCCTAATAATTACAAATATTTATACTATTAGAATATTTATTTATATATAATATACTTTTTAATAATTGCATAAATAATATTTTTATATTATTAAACTGTTCTTAACACATGAGATTTATATTTTCCTTCCGATTCTTTCCCTCAGGTATGTTGGGTGTGGGGAGTGAGTGAGCAGCTGCATTGTACTTAATTGCTGGCTGGAGTTAAACCATGACAATATTTTTTGCTTTGTATTGCACCTATCCTTTTATTTGGGAAAATAATTTTGATATAATTTAATTTTTCTTTTTTAGAGAAATATTTATTGTCCCAGAAGACATGTTTATATTGACACAGGTGTTTACCACTATCCCTTTCTGTAGACTTCATGTTCTTGATAATGACACACAGGAAGAAATGCCACATGCCTTTTTCAAAGTGGCATCTCATGTTTATCCCAAAAATAAGGTAAATACAAGAAGTTGTTGTGAAAAGTATAATTTTAAAAATAATAAACAATGCCCAAATTCTGTGGAGATTTTTAGCTATGTCATGGTGTTAGTAGTGTTCTACTTAAAAGCACACCCTTATTTATTAGCAAGTTTGAACAGAGACCACCCCTGATCTGCTTCCATGCTGAATATCTATTAGTAAACTTTTTATTATTTTCTCCTCTGTACTCTTTCCAGCTGCTGTTGTTTTGGGGTTTTTTTCCCTGTTTATCATGTATAGCACTGAGCACAGTAAACTTTGTGCCAGTGTTTAACTTGTGGCCATAAAAAGTTTGAATAAGGAATGATAAGGGTACCTATTTTCTTCCCATGGGTACAGCACAGTAGCCTCAGTGATTCTGTCAATTACTGATGAAAATGGCCCTTTTCATTGGATTCCTGCTCTTCCCTATTGAAGAAGTCCTCTCTTAAACCCACAGTTTTGTCATTGTTTGCTAAACTAATGGTTGATATTTTGTAATATTAAATGTGGTTAATAGCAGTAAAGAGTGATTTTTAGAGTATTAAATAGAATTGTGCAGGCATGCTGTATTTTTCTACTTGTTCTTATTGCATTTCTCAGTCACTGAGCTCTTGAGTTCCTCAGTAAGGATATAACCTTATGCTCTCCAATTTAGCTTGTTTCTTCCTATTTCCAAATAGTTGATTATTGTATCAGTGGACCCGCACACGCTTTTGAAAGTTCTATTGATGCTTTGACAAGAGATTCTGCAATTAGTAAACACAGAATACAATGGTATTACTTTAATCTGTTACATTTTTTTGTAACAGTATTTTGTAAAAAATAATCAACAATGAAGTACATCAAGCAAGAAATTATTCAGTATGCCTGAATTCTTAAATGTCAGTATTATTATATAAAAAGTCATTAAAAAAAAAAAATACACCTACCAGTTCTGCTTCCAAACTATGACTCAGCAATTTACAACAGAGATAGAAAGGAATCCTGTCAAACAGATACCATTACTCTGCTGCAGAGACACTTCTGGAACACATTAAAGTTCATTTCAGAATGATTGACAGTGAAGATAAAATCTGCACACTAGCAATAAAGTCTGTCTCTTTTTTTTGCAGACTTTACAATCTAGATGGAAACTGGGTACTTGATTAGTATATTTGGATTTTTTTGGGTTGCATAAATTTATTTTTTTTTTTAATACTGCTGGATACAGTTGAATTTGTTTTCATTCTTGGTGGTTTTGGTTTTTTTTTAATTCTACTGTCTTTATTATTCACAAGTCTTTTGAACAGATTGTAGAAAAGGATAGAGATAAGCACTGAAGCTTCAGCTGACCTACATAGATAAGAGTTTAAGAAATCATCACTACCACCATATTTAGTCTAGAAAATAGAAGTCTATTTGAGCAAGGACACTGCTCAGTTATTTCTCTTGACTAGACATAAAAGGATGTAAGGGATTCATCTTACTTTGCCATAAAGTTATCTTGGGTGGTATATTAGAAAACAATCCTTTCTGATTCTAGAGACAGTGAATTGTAACAAGATACCTAAGTAAGTAGTGAAACCTACTGAAGGTTATTTACTAAAGGCACATAAATTTAAGGGGGTTGTTGACATCTATTTTCTTATTTCTCAGTAGTGACTTGATCTTCCTACCAGACACAAAATTCAGTTGTTGTGCTTTCTAATTGCTTGTAGTATTCACAAAGTGCTCACTCAAACAGACTTTTGGTCCTAAGTCTGAATTTTCTGAATATTTTTAGCGAACATTAAGATCCTATAACATTAGCTTTATAGATAGGTATACAAAAAAGTGGTGATAAATTGTTCTTCTCATGCATGACGTGCTGTCAGAAAGCAGTTCAATATCTGGCTAAATCCTTCTCCATTTCCAGGTGTACTTGATAAGAACAGAGGGGCCTGTGACTCTGTGCTTAAGTAGATGTTTAAATGAGTGAGTTCTCCTGAATGGTTACTCTGAGTTCTTGCTGTTTCCTTGTCGTGATTAAAGGCTGTAAAGTGCCTTACTGCTACAACTGCACAAATTGGAATAATGAATAATTTATTTTACTTTCATTTAAAATATTCAGTATTCATGGAGCCACAGCCCTGAATTACTGGATAGTCCTGAAATCACAATCCTATTTATTATAAGGATTTTTCAACAAAGCTCTTTTTGCTGCTAAATGATGATTTCTTTAAATGGAGTTTAGAAGAGGACTGAAAGAAATGGAGCCTTTCAAAGAATTTTCATTTGGACTATTTCTTGGGTGGGACATGAATTTTTAATATTTGAAATAGGGAGATAGTAGCACTAGTTAGACTACATAGAAAAGGGACTTAATTCTGAGTTCCCCTGCAACATTACAGGTGGCCATTTCACTCTTTATATCCATTTTTCCTTCCCCTGCTTTTCAAGTAATCACATTCACATTGCCTTCTTTTTCACAAATACCAGTTAATCAAAGTTTGAATCTTTTTGTATTATATCCTGGCTCCTCATATTCCTATTCTTAGGATCAATAAAGAGCACCTAAATCTGCATCAACTTCATTATGTACTGCATTTTTATTATTTTTTAAATTTTCTAATACTAGAAATATTTTTCTTAATATATTAATAAAAATATTATAAATATCTTGTCATTTCAGATATGCTATATCTGCAGCAGCATTATTAAGTTAGGGTAAATGTTAATTTGAAGACTGAAGTAATCTGAGTCTGAAAGACTCAGATTTGAAGACTGGAGTAGTCTGATCTCTAAATTTCCATGCAGCAAACTCATCCACCCCTACTTTCACACTCCCTAAGCATGAAGGAGCATTTTAAATCATCAAATAATTTGGTTAGAAAGTGACTTCAGACTTTGGTTGTATCTGCCCCTAAAAGCACCTGCCAGCTTTCCAGTTAGATGAAATTGGATTTAACTTGCCATGTAATTTTTTTGCCAAATATAAATTGCTAAAATAGGAGATGCTCCATAGGTTAGAATAGACTGGAGTTATAAAATTCTTGCTGATAAGGACATCTTATGATATTAATAACTGTAATGGACAAAAAGTATGTTGCATGTAGTCACAGAGTGCCTTTTGAATAGTGTTATTGCCACGTAAAAATGACTTGTTTTCCCCTTTCAGAAAGGATACACTTTTGTGGCTGAAGCACACACTGGTGACCAGCCTGTGCCAGGTGGGAAATGGAAGCTGCGCTTCATCAGCTCCCAGAGTGCCCTGCCATTTCTCTCTCGCGAGGCTGTAGATAATATCTATTCTACCCTACAATTTAAGGAGTATTACATACCCAACAAAGAGTTCCTACTGTTTAGGTAAATATTGAGAGAAGAATGAATAAATTCTGTGTTATGTATCGGTCATCCCTATCAGAAAAGTGTGTTCCTTCCTCTTTCTTAGAAGGGGAGAGTATTGATGTAAATATCTGAATGTTATGGGCTATTAAATTAACATTTGATTAGTAAAAATGTTATTTGTGAAATATTGCCACTACTTAATGAAGAACAGGTGTGAAGTACACAGACTATAACTTTAAAATCAAAATTCAGTTTTGCATTTCTGTAACCTCTGTCTTATCCATGTGCCAATTACTGAAATTTCATAGTACTTTTAGGAAATAAACATGTATTGAAACACTCTTTTCCCAGTATATCAGACCAATTTCCATCTTGCAGTATTGTTAGAAAAATTTATATTTGTTTTATTTTTGCATGCTGATTCATTTAGGAGAACATATTTAACAAACATGTGATTTAGTTTTTATTAATCTTTTCTTAATTAATTAAAGTTCCTTAAAATCCATTCTGAGTTCAGAACTGACTATTCCTAAATTGCTATACTTAAGTTTTTTACACAAAGAACTACACACTGCACTACAACAGACCCTGTGCTTCTAGTTGATTAAATGTGTATGTTTTGAAGGTTAATTCTAAAACATTTTACCCTGATTCCTGGAAGCTTTTTCAATATTTCAAACCAACAGATTATTCTTGGTATAGAGGTCTCTTTAAGAGAAGGAAACAGTTTCAATATAATTGAAGAAAGCATGTAATGAAAAAAAAAAAAAAAACAAATACACTAAAATTTTGTAAGAACTCTCTGTCTTGATAATTTTCATTCTTTCACCCTTCTGATGTTACCAACCTTAAAAAGAATTATATATTTTTAGTTCCAAATGTGCTGAAGTCAGATGATGGATTCTTTGTGTGTTTTTGTTTCTTTGCTTGTTTGGTGAGATTAGTCATAACAATTTGAATGTATGGACAAAAAACCTATAATACATAAAGCAATGGGTTACAACACAACTATTTGAACAACATAACAATTATTTGAATTTTTTCCTCGGACTCTAATTTAACAGTTTTATAATGCCATGGTCTTTTAAGCTGACCCAAGTAGCTACTGCCATCAAAGGAGATATCCTTACCCTTTTGAAAGAAAATAATATTTTTTTTTTCCCTCAGGTACTTTTATAATGATACAGTTCCCTAATCTGGCTAATGATATTCAACAAATAAAAGTACAGTAGGCATTCAAATGTCTATTTGGACATTTGATAAGGCAATGGAAAAAAAAAAAAAAAAAAAAGAAATAGCTAGACCACCCCATTTTGCAGCAGCAGCACTTGCTTTGCTTGTTGATACACTGCATTAAACTTCACTACAGGAAGCTTAGCCCATCAGATTCCAGGAAAACAGTTGATTTGTAACTCAATTTTAAGTGTTTGCTTCCAGTTTAGCACAACATTTAGCTACTTTCCTAAAAAGAATTTTCAGGTATAGTTGGTTATATTGCTATAATTTTTTCTTCCTCTTTAGGTATTTTGTAAAGGTCACAGCACCACATACGGCTACATTGCAGGTACAGACCTCTAATTCAGATGTGCTCATTAAGCTACAAGTCCTAGATAATGAGAAGGAAATCATGAGTGTCATTGGAAAGGGCAATGCAGTCATCCCAGTTTTTAATTTCTGGAGTAATCAATCACTTCTGAGCTCCCAGTGTAAGTATTGTATGCCATATTTAATAATTTTATTCACTGCAGGATATACATTCTTAGAGTAACTATAGATAATCATGGAAAATACTATTTTCCCCTGCTCTTTTCATTAACTTTAATTTTACTGTTCAAAACCAGTAAGTACAATTGAATGAGGTACATAATTCTTAGACATACTTCAACAATGGACCCTGTAGTGCTCAGGTAATTTTAACAAAAATTAAGTACCATCTGCCTGCCTCCATTATACTTCTTATACATAATAGATTTTAGAGGCTACTGCCATGCCATCTTCTTTGATAATCTGCATCTGTTTTCCTGTTTTCTCTACACCTCACTTCTAAATCAAATGATTTCCATTTCATTTGTGTGCTATTTTGAATTATTCATTATAGTTTTGTTTCAATTTTAAAATTAATTCTTCATAAGAATTACAAGTTTGCTTAAATAAAGCAGATGTTTATAAGCCAAGTCTGCTACTGTACTTTTCAGTGATACTGCTATACATAAGATATGAAAGATATGAACGTCTTCAGTCCTTCTATGAAGACTTCTAAACAATAAATCTTCTATAAATCTGAGTTTGCCTAGTTGAGCATATTGAGAACCTGAGGCAAAGACAAATTGTTCAAATACTGGATTATTGCTTTGCTAAAGCCCAAAATAGCATTATATTTCTTCTGCTCACCTCCACTATTTTGAACCGTGGAGTTTTCAAATATGATCCTTTAGCATGATGTGCAGTATGAAATTCCAATGCTTTATGGGAAAAATAATTAATTTCATAATATTTATGAAACATCTTGATTTCTGTCTCAACTGCACCTTGTTATTACCAGAAATGTAAAAAAAAAAAATTAGTCCTATGGAGACCATGCACTTAAAATTTTATTCATCAGAATAAAACATTAGGTTTTTAAAGGAAGTCATAGAGAACCTGTCATGATTCTCTCTTGAGTTACCAAGAAAATCAGTAGCTATTTTTGGTTAATGTGTTTTGGAATGTGGAAGTGGACAGGTAAACTTAATGGTAGGCTGTTGGAAATAGAAAGAGGAAAATATAAAATAGCTCAGCTTAGGCTCAGCATCATGGTAGTGGCAGGAAATTGCCAAGTTACCCTCAGTAAAGTGAAGGAGAAACTTTGTTTCAGGAGACTGTCTCCTTGCAAAGCTGATAGTTTGAAGACTGAAATAAGTTAAAAGGCACAATCAAGTGACAGAGAAGAGAAATGGATTCCACCAAATGCTGAAAGCGAGAGAATGGGGCAAAATAATTAGAAGTGGTGCATTGCTTTTGCCAGTCTACCAGGACACATATGTGAGAACTTTGCAAAATATCCTCAGAAATCAGACACAAACATTCTAGCTCTAATGTGCAATGATACAAATAATTTCTGCTAATTTATAATTATTTTAATCCACTTTGAATTATTTGGTGAAATATCTGTTACATTAACCTGATTGAATATAGGAAGGTTTTTGAATCAGGGCCTATTTAGCAGTGGTAGCCATAAAATCGTGTTATGATTTTAGGTTATATTTGAAGTTGAAATGAATATTCTGATGCTCATTAAGTGTGTGTGAGTATATAGAGTTGCCATTTGGAATGAATGGCTGTGAAGCTCTCACTGTTGGGGTTTTTTACTATAACTTATATTTTTACAATACTAGACCAACTGGCCTTAACACTGAAGTTCTTTTCCTATTAATATACATCCTGTATATCACAAAAAGATACTTTGTATAGAAACTTTAATAGCATCCAAATTAAATCAAAATATTGTGAAATGTACTCAGTATAACCAATATGAGCGTACTGTATTACCCAATCTGCTGAGTGTCTCTATGTTCAGTAAGGGTTCATTCTATGGCATTGTAAAAGCATATTTCTTTGGTATTGTCAAAAGTGGTTTTATGGCCTGTACAATAACAATATAGAAACACTCAGAAATACTGATTCCAAGTTCAGGTGAAGATTCGTACTACTGACACCCAATACAACAAGATTCCTTCTGTCAGTATTTCTTTGTTCTCTAAAAAAGTGTGTTTTCTCAGAATAAGAATAATCAGAAAACACTGCTATACCACTGGCACCAATCTTGTTAGTTAAGCCACATACAATCCCTAAATTTGACACTTATTCACTACCACATATGTTCTGCCTCTCATAGAATTGATCACTGTGTTGCCAGAATTTCTCTTAAATGACATTATTGCGCAACCATCACCAATAAAACATTATCTCCCTGCCCACCCACAGCCTGTTAATTCATCTCCAGTCACAGCTGTTCTATTAATTTCTTTTACAGCTCAAAAACTACATTAAACCAACTGATTTTTGAATGCATTTACCTCTTCTGAGGTGTAGCAGATGACTTGGACCTTGAACATTTGCCTGACAATAAAGGACTTACATATTGACACACACATTGCAACCACAATTTGTTTTGTTGATACAAGCACAGGAGTTGCCGAAGGAGAGATGGGCAAGTGAATGCTCACAATCCTTTTATTTTCCACAGTAACAGTCTGGTGCAACCCTGTTAAAAAGTATAAAAATATCTTTCAGATATTTGTTTGAATCTGGAAGAGAGGTAGGTAGAAGTTTCTTCTAGCCAGAACCGAGGAAAATCAAGAGTGACATACACGTATTTTTGTATGTAGTAAGGAAAGAAATTGGTGTTACAGCACCACCTGGTGACCATTGCGAGATTTAGCGGCTGTGTGTATCTTTTGGGGAGCTTTTGCGAGTGATCTTTCCTGCAAAGGCAGCTAATTGACTCTTACGGGGGATTCCACCATTCTGAGAGGAATTATCTTCATGGCAGGATCTTCCTCTGGGAAAATCTTTATAGAATTGTTCAATACTCAAGCTATTCAGGTTGAGGAGAGAGAGGAGAGGAGAATAGTGATGCATTCACGAGAACCAGTTGTAGCCTCCCTTGAACTCTACCTATCTTGCTCGGTAGAGGTAAGCTCCTGCAGAGGGCAGCGCACATCTCCTAAAGCCCCGACACAAAACATCCTGGAGTGGAGCTCACCTCTCTGTTGACTCCAAGGGAGAACATCTAAGTGGCTTCACTGCTTTCAAGCTACTCTTTTGTAAGTTACATCCACTGGCCCTTGCTTAGAGTGCTCAGACAGGCACTGAAGATCATTCCTGACTTGAAACCTTTATGCAAATATTGCAAATGGTAAACTAGAGGCAATTAGAAAATGTCTTTATGTAGTTATTCTTCCATCTGGAATACAGGTTTCTTTGAAAGAGGTTTTCTTGCAGACGTCGAATATTCAAGATTCAGGTCTGTGGATATTGTTTCTTATTCATCCAAATGCTCTTCTGAGTGAAAGCCTCATGATTTTGATTCCTTCTGGTGAAAGACGTAATAATCTAACCACTGTGAATTACATCTACTCTCACCTTCACACCATGGGACATTAACTGATATCTAGAAAGCTCAGCAGTAGCTGAGTAAGAAACTATTCCACAGTTGCAGGCTTGCTAGGCATACCTTTTGCAAAATAACAGCCATGGAGCTGCAGCACCCTAAAAAGTGGTTTAGGAGAAATCAAGTATTGTCTTCCTTCACATTTCTCTCACAGGTGGCTTTTCCACAGGGACAGCAAGAGGGATGGCTCTGGTGCTAAAGATTCTGAATGCAATGCAGAAGAGCAACTCAGAACTTGTGATTAAGAGTTTGAGATCTCTTTAAGAGATCATCTCTACAAGATCTGATTTTGATTTCCTGACTTCTACTGCTTTTCTTAGGAACGGGAAGCACTGGTTTATGCAGAGGAAAGACACAACAAGAAGGAATCCATGACATTTGGCTTTCATAAGAAACAATATTTCCTGGCTCTATGTGAGTTTCTAGGGGCACACTTAACCTCTAATTGGGCATTTATTCTTTGACACACCAGCATTAAATTTTGTTCAATCTGGTGTGTAATAGTCCTGCCACCTCCTGCAAATTTCCCTGGATGTTTCATTAACATACATGAAAGTGTGCATTTTTCTTTTGAAGTGTTGCAATGATGCAGTATCATTCTTTTTTTTTTATACAATAAACCCTGGGAGGAGTGAAGTCAGTGAAGTCAGAATGATATCTCTTTCTCAGCTGATACTCCAGTGTAGCACAGGTAATGGTTAGTGTGACACAGGTGAACCTGCTTCCCCAGAGGTGTTATTCTTTGTCCTTATTCAATTTTCTATGAGATGTTCACTTTTAGAATTCTTTTTGAATTTCTCTGCGGACATGCAGGCAAAAGACCCCATCTCAATGGCATCAGAAATGAAAACAAATTTATGTTTTTTGGGTTAATATTTCAGTGCCCAGCCTTCTTTAGAACATTCTGGTTTTCACAGTTTTCCACATAACATCTTCTTTAGGTGACAATTGTATACATTGATAAAGGATAGATCACAAACAGTTTTATATCTCTTTTCAAGACTGGCTCTTTTTTTAGCTCAGGTTAGCAATAATCTTTGTTTCAGGTTGGCACAAAAATCTCAGAGACTTCTGTAAGGGTATGCAGTGCCAGAACTGTGGCCAATGTACCTCTTCCCTTCATCCAGTTTTATACAATTTATTAAATTAGCCACCAAGGGATCTCATGATAGGGAGCACAAGGCTCTCTATATTTTGTAACGTGTAGCATGGTGCTGTGATGGTTAATGCAGGAAAGAAGCATGGGCTTTGAGGGGAAAAGTTATATGCTTTATAAATAGTCATAACAGTCATATACACACAGTCTTAAATTTCTCATTATTTGCTTTGAAGATATTTGTGATTTACATGCAAAATGAAATCAGGGTAGTATTTGGAATAAGTATAGTTTTAATTGGAAGCTTGGGAGTATAATCCAGTATGAGAAAATGGACTATACTAATTATTTCTGATTTTTTTTTTACTTTCTGGGTGCATCATGCCAGTAATTCATAGAATTTCAGGACCTTTTTTTGTCATCTTGCAGTAAAAAACTTACAGATTAGTCAAAGAAGTACAGTGAAGGGATTGGAAACTGGACGAATAAAGAAAGGAAGTCGTAATTCGTCAAAGGACAGCAAAACTTCTTCCAAGACAGACCTTGTACAGGAATGCTCAGTGATATTAACAGATGAATCCTCAGTCTCAGAAAAATTTGAAAATAATGTTGGAAGCCCACAACAAGTAAGAGTTTTTTTAATCACTGGGATTTGGAAAGAAAAAAAAACAAAAAAACAAATGAACAGTGAAGGGTTATTGCTAATTCTTTTGGTACATGTGCAAATCTTCTATCCTGGGGTAAAAACAAGAATCAAAATTAAGATTGTTCGTAGCTTTTGAACAAAGTGATGAAAAAAGAATAATGTACATGTATGAATGACTAAATAAGTAGGAGGTTTCATATCAAGGTGATTTACTCTATCTTTAAGTGTTCTTCATTTGGCAAATCTAATACAAATATAACTTTCACATAAAGATCAAAAATTGCCAGAAATTATATTAAAGTTTTGATGCTTCAATATGAGCTTTCTTTGAAAGATGATATTATAGAAGGCCATCTGTAATAGTTTGCACAGAGAAACACCTATTTCCATTCAGCTGCAAGCTTTAGTAACAGACACATAATATCTGCTACTCGAGCCAAGAGGCTAATGTCAAACCATGGGTTTTTCTTGATGTCATTTAGTATTGTGTATTTTAGAGAAATTGAGTACACTTTCTGAAAAAAGTTCTTGTTTTACATCTTCTCATGTTTTTCTGCTGTGATTTTTTCTTGATAGTTGAGTTTAATTGCAACAAAATAAAGAAAGAAACCAAAAATTATTGAGAAATAAACTCCAAAGTGGTTCCTTTGACTCAGAACTGGCATTAGAATTTTTGAAAACAGTTTCTAAATATAATAATTTCCAATTCAGTTTAGACAAAGTTTAAAAGAGCCATGGACCCTGTCACCTCTATCTCAAATTAAGGCATTATTGAGTGCTAGTACAAGGGTTCAAAGCCCCATAGTAAGTCTTACAATCAAAGACAAAAGTCTTTGTTTTAGTACATGGCACACATAGGGAAGTTACATGGAAATCTTACAGGAATGTAGCTCCTTATTGTGTAGCCCAGTTTAGTTTTACTTGATAAACACATGAGTAATTGTTTAACTTCACAGGAATTAAAATAAGATCTGTGGAATTAACATTAATTTTTTAAGCTTCTTGTAAATGCTGCTGTGTGCAAGCTTGTAAATTAATTATGTGTTTTATTTGCTGAATTCAATAGCTGGAACTGTACTAACCTGCAGGACTTGAATGCTTGCTGCAATTGTTATGACTTCACCATGTTGCATTTTCTTTCACAGTCTCACCAGTATTCAGTAGAGGCACTGGTGTTGCATGATAGTTGGCCACTTACTGAGAGTGAGTCTTTGCTTGTTCAGGAACTGAAAGAAATGCAGAAAGATGAAATCAAAGGTAGGTTAACCTAAGTACGTATTTAGTCAAATGTATCATGTTACTGATTTTAAAAAAATACATATTACTCCAAGCAACATTTTTTCATTGTTTCATTGTTTGAGTGAAATAACTAGGCAAGAAAACTTTCTTCTGTAGTTCTTAGAAATGAAGTTTGTTTGCATGCATCTACATCTTCAGTTCACAAAATATAAGAAAATCTGAGACTACACTGCAAGACACCTTCTTATGGCTCAGATTTAGATAGAGATCTGGAACAGAAGCATGCCTGCTGATAATTGCAGAAAATGCACTGAATGAGATAGGGGAAAAGGCCTGGTTTGGGAAATGTATTCCTCCTGTACTATTAGGAGAAGAATTTAGCAAGAGAAAAGACTAGGAAAGTTCCCAAGTACAGTCTGTATGTCTAAGTCACAAAGGGGACAGAGAAATTACAGAAGGTTTTGGGTTTTTTACGGATTATTGTAGCATTTCTTCTTAAGGGACAATAAAAACCAACCCCAAGACATATTAAAAGCACTTAGAATCCTAGTCAGTATTCTGTAAATTAGATAAATGTCTCATATTTTCTTCTTCATTTATCAGCAAGGTTGATACAAAATTATGTAAATCTTTATTATGTTAAAGTTTATCATTCTGGACGCAAAAGCCTGAGAGAGGCAAGCCTCTGCCACTGCACATTCCCAGATCCAACTGTTTGTGGGGCTGAAGGTGTAATCCCACCAAGCACGTGCACATAGACACAGATACACTCGATGTATATGTGTGTATATGTACATATAAACACACGCACATTGCCAGCTACAGAGATCTCAGACAGAGAGAGCACAAACAGCACCAGCTGCATTATCCTGCTTTTCCCTCTTGGGCTGGAAGAATGGAAGTCCCCTAGATAGACTGTGTATTTCTAAAAAGGTAGGTCCTTCCACCAGCTGCACTTAGACACCTAATGTGCCCAGCAGCTTGCCTCTGCATCCCCTACGAGCTCTGAGGCTGCAGCCCTATCCCAGCTGCTGGTGCAGAACATCACACACACATGCAGCTGATTCTCCTGTGTTCTCACCCCTAGGTTCCTGCAGAACCTAAAATATTACTTCCCATCATTCAATAGATTTTCTGTATCATTAATATTAAAGTTCTATAACTCAATTTTTAAAAGAAGTAATAAGAAAAAATTATTTGGTTCCCCATATATATACACTTGCTAATACTAAAAAAAGAAATATTTAGGATGGTTTGATTTTTATTTGCTAGTGGTATGTCTCACTTTTTATTCTATTTACGTTTCTTTTTAAATGTCTGGTCAGGTCTTTTTTCAGTAATTTCTAGTACTCTGGACTGAACTTAGATTCAGCAGTAGTAATTGCTGATGGATATTATTTAATTTCTTGGGTTTGGGACGTATGCAGTATTTGAGATTTTTTTTCATTATTTCTTTAGTTATTATTATGCGACTTTAAAAATATGTATCTTCTTGGTTTACTATATTCTGTACTCAGTTTTAGTAGCATTTGAGGAGCTATGTCACGTGGGCTTACAGGCTTGTACACAGCTCTTTTAGTGGTTTCACCTGCTTGTGTTTTGTTGTGTTCTTCACAATATCATCTTTTCTTCCTAGATGATTCCATTCATTCTCTTAGTTTTCCCTGTCAGACTCCTTCTCACAACAGGCATTCTGTTACATCCTCTTACCCTTCTGGGTTGGCTACATAGTGACAGCTTGCACTTGACAATATCCTTTTATACAGCTTCACCATGATCTGTAAAACTGCAGGTCAAAGGGGGTCACTTATCTCTTAAATTTCTTCACTAGTTCTCAGCTCGTATCACTGAACCTTGGCAATGGCATGCATGTTCTCATGTTGAATTCAAGGCAGCAGTATTCCAGTTCATAGCTCCCCTTCTCCATGCTAACTGATGCTCATTTGCAGTCAAACAAACTACAGGCAGTGACAACAAGCATTTTTTTCCTTGGGATTATTTTAAAGTGGTGTAAATATAATAATTTTTAAATGGTGTAATTTTTGTGCCCTCTCATAAATGCTGCCTTTCAAAGTAACCAAATCCATTTCACATTTTTTATTGAGTGTTTCTGTTTATACAAGGATACCAACAGATTGCCTAGGCCACCAAGAGAGTTTAAACACAACTTATATAAAAAAGTTGAAGCATCAATACTCACTTAATACTTAGTGTTTCTTTTTTGTACCCCTCTTAACAGCAATATTTATCTGAAGTTCTTACTATAGTTAAATATTCTGGGGGAAAGCCCAAACATTTATTCCTTTTTCTGATGGTGAGCTAGTCTTGAATCAGTTTGAAATCTGACCTTTACCATTTAAAATTGCTGACACAAGTTGTCAGACACAAAATTCATCCAGTAATAATAATGTTGGTATGTAACCATAAAGGTATTGTTTCACCACGTGATTTTTAAGAATGCTGCAGTGAGCCAGGTGAAAAATTTATGCAAAACGTTTCCCTTTTTCAAGTAACCCTTTTTCATGCAAGCCAACACTGCCATCTAGAGTTAATTTTGTATTAAAGCTAATTTATCATGGCAAAAGTATATTTCGACTTTGCATTAAGATGTGCTCAAATCTTTTAAACAAGTCTCCCTTTAAATTAAGACCCATGCTATTATACTCTTGATATTCACCAATATTATAAATGCTTATTTAGAACATTTTTGAAGAAAGTAAATTCTCTGGTATACAGATGCTATGATAATTTTGTATTTCTTGATGTTTGTACTTGTAAACAGAACTGTGTTAGTGAAAGTTACTTTGTGAATAATACTTATTCATATTTATTACATATAAAATCACATTAAATGCTTCATTAAAGAGCCCACTGCACAAACAAAACATTAAAAAGGCATTAGGCAGGAAAACCTAAGTACACAGAAATGAGGAGGTTCCATGTGCGTTATTTATACTGTGTTCATTCTTCTTCTTCATTCTCTTTCTTCCTTTTTGGTTTTTTTTGGGTTTTTCTCTTTTTTTTTTGCCTCTTTCTTCTGAGAACTATTACAGAGCAAGCCTTCAATGGAAAAAGACTTTTAAAAATGCAAGCTCAAGATTCTTGTGTAAAAGGGGAACAATAAGCAGGCAATCTTACAACTTCTAGTACCATTTTCAGTTGCTTGACTGTGTGAACAAAATCATTTTAAGGTTCATTTTGTATTTAGGATTTCAGCTATTATGTTTCTGGGTTCTTTGGTTTTATTTTTCTTGTGGTAAGAATATCAGTTTTATTGTGCAACTGTCACAACCCCAAGCTGAATCATCACTGTGTGCTGAATGCTAACTGCAGCATGTATTTTACATATTGCCTTAAATTAACTTAGGAGTGTGAGCTGTTGATAAGGGCTGTCTATGCAACTGGGAAAGGAGGAGAAGATGGAGTGCCCAGCCCAGGTAGTAGAGGTAGGTTTGAAAAGGCAGGACAGGCAATATGTTTTGGAATATTCCTTTTTATCCTCCAGAGCACTCAAAGTTTCTCCCACAGGTTTTATTTTCCCACAGGAGAACTTGCTGGCTCATGCCAAGGAGAGGATTCCATGGGATTTTTAACAGGATGTTCAGATCTCTCTCTCTCTCTTTCCCAGCTTGCTTGTCAGTAGTGATTAATCACTGGCCTGGTGTTCAGTGAACAAATAGTTCACAGAGGATACACGATGGTTCTGTAGATCTCAAAGCCACACCCTAACCCCACACTACTACTGCAACCACATTATTGGTTTGCTTCTATCTGAGTGTATTTTTTCTGCAACTTTAATGTCTGGGTGAGCCCAACTTTAGAAAGACTTTTGACATTGCCATCTGTCAAGAATCCTTCTGAGGGTCCAGTCTAAGACAGGAAAAGCGACAGCTGAACTTCTCAATCTTTTCTTAATGAAATCTGAAAGTCCCTCATCGGGAAACTAACAGTCATTACTACCAACTACTGGGTAACCCCACTAAATGCTCAGAGCCTATTTCAGACAGCAGTAGCATGATATCTTCTCAAAGAAAGCTACAAATGACTCCTCTGTGTTATACCTATGAATAAGATAGATTCTCTGTAATTTAAATTTCATAAACCAGGAGTAGCTGTCTATCTAAAAATTAGAATTGATGTTTCTCAATCTGAAGCTGAGTTTCAGCTAGGAATCATTTGGTGCAATTTTTTAACTTGTCATAGACAAGTTATCATCAGATTGGATGATCACTTTGGTCATCAGATTGGACAATCACTTTGGTCCCATTTGGCATTAGACTAAATGAATTTTTGTGTAAATAATTGAAAAGCAGTAGACAAGCTAATTTTAAAGTTGCTGTCAGCTGTGTGTCATCACTGTCAGCCTGTGTGATGCCCAAGCTTTTCTTGGTGCCACACAGATATAAAAAACTGCCACTGAGAGTTTGTGATGATTGATGCATAAGCTGCGAGCTGGAATGTCCTTTTACTTTCTGTATCATCTGCCTGCCTTTCTTATCATATCCCACAAAGCATTTGCCTGGCTTTGCCCTTAGAAAAGTCCCAAGCTGCTGCTCACATCTCCCTTTGAATCAGAGTGGGCAGCGAGCTAAAATGCAGTCATTGCCCCCTCCAGGCATTTCTGGAGGTTGATCCCTAAACTGGGATACTGCTTGCTCTGCTGAGGAAGTGGGAAGGGCTGGGGGAACCTGGAGAGTGCAGTACATGGGAGAGCTTGGAGATCTCAACTTAATCCTGCCCTAAGCCTTCATAGGCTGGAGTTAAAGTAGGTTACCTCATTCTAGCCCCTGTCATTTCTCATGCTTGCTTGTTCTTTACTAACTTATCAGGGTATGCTATAAGTTCAGAGCATCAAAATGTTATAATTGAGAGTCACAAAATATTTCTAGAAACCAGACAAAGCCTGTACTATCCCATGACATAGAAAGTCTTTGTCTGGGATCATTTAGCTAACTACACTGAATGTCTTTGAGTGTTTGTGTAAGCAATAAATAATTGATCTCTAAAATTTAATAATACTTTGAATAATGTATGTACACCAGCCTGATTTATGGTGCTAGTATGTAATGATAATGTGAAATTAAAGGGAGAGTCATGTATATAATAATTTTATAACTTTTAATTATGTCATCACATAATTAAATCACATGTTTTATATTTGCATTTCTTATGGAGTTTTAGTATATTCAGTATTTGTGGAGATCACTTTAATTTTTTTGCTTTTATTCATTAATATATGCCTTAGTAGCACTGAACCAATTTAAGCTTTACACTTTAGTGTAAAATGTCACTGGACATTTTTTAAGTATCATGAGGAGAAAAGAATAATACCATTTCTAGACAAACACATGTACGATGTATGATGTAATACACTTATATAATATATATTTGTATATTATATATTTGAGTTACAAATATGTTTCTATATATTTAATATTTACAACTTTATGTATCCATATAGCCACTTTATATATCCATATGACAATGCAGCTCTCATCCAAAGCTCATTAATTGTGCAGTACAATGATTTGTCCTCAGTGGAAAGAAAGTGGAAAAGCACTAAGAAAGACATCTACCTTAAAAGCATTAAGTGAAAGATATCTTATTATTATCATCAGTCTGTGAAACAGTCACTCATATAATTTTTTTTTTTTTTCTGAGAGAAGTCCCGTGTTTTAGCATATTGGTTAAATCTAGGTTTTCAGCACTTCTCTCAATGTTTCAGGCAGTAGGAAGGTGGAAGGAAATGGAGATTTCAGACTCAGCTTTTTAATCTTTCTCATAGTGTTTTGGATTCATCCCTGGTTGTTTCAACTGACACATCCTTTATGCTAAAAAAGTTATATGCTGTTACATGCTTTATTTATTAATTTATTTTAAAAACAATATGACATGCAAGAAGTCTTGTTTACAGCTCTCACCAGCTAAGACATTGCAAAATAACTGTTGCAAATGTCAATTCTCAGTATCATTAATTCAAACATATAATATACATATGTACTGATAATACAGTTAATTTAAAATGTTCCTAGATAGTTCTGACAATGACAATTTTGCATTTCTTAAATATGCATTGAGTCTCAAACATGTTTCTTTGCTTTAACTTCCTTGCATTTTATGGGGTGTATTTACATTCTCTGTTCTAGATAGTCTTAGGATGGGAGATAATGAGAACATTGACTTTACCTTCTTTCCTGGTGCATAACAAACACCGACAGAGATTGTATGAGACTACAGAAGTGAAGTGAGAGTCAGGCTGTGATTCTGTGCATTGCAGTCTTTATACTGACCCATAGACAAAGTAGTAATGCAGTGACTGCTGGCAGGCACCATGAAAAACTCTCAGTTAAGCCCTGGGTAAAGTTGTATTTAGGACAGATAAGGCTGACATGTGTTCACCTTGTAAATATGTTTTTTAAAGTTGTTTGGACCTCATAGTCTTTCTTCGTAGTACTTGAAAGTGTCAACTAATTAACTGGCTTTCCTTTGTCTCTTTGTATGGCTGTTTTGTGCTGTTATTCCACCCTGGGTTTTATATGGGGAACTATATTATATATTAACTATATTATATTATCTAAATCATAATGCATTATAACTATATCTGAGTAACACACAGGAGAAAATATGAGGAGCACCGCTTTCCCCTAATTCTCACTTCTTTCCAAGTAAAAAAGACTGCAAGTATTCCTAAATCAACCAGAACATCAAAAGATAACGCATTTGAGAAGACAGAAAATGAGAAGTTCAGGAAAGAAAGTGCATCACTTGAATCTCAGGTGAGAACAAAGCCAAACCCTGGATTTATTGAATGTGCCATCCTTGCACTGAATATAGAGACATTCTCAGGTCTGCAGATCAGTACTGCTAGGACTTCTGATGTCCCTTGTATTTCTCTATACCCTGCTTTGCCATCTTTTTAGCTTAACACTTGAGAAAGGTTGAATTAAAAATGTTGAACGTAAAAGATGTGCAGTCTGGATTTAGAGACACAATTTGCTCATTTCTTTGTTTATGTATAAATGAAAAACTGGTTGTTCCTTTTGTTGGTGTAGTTTCTGTCTCTGCTGAAGACTTACTAAATTGCAAGAATTCACCATATTTGTGTCCCATTAATCTCTCATTGTAGAGGCTTCCATGACTTTCTAGAGAGATGAAATAGGTCTTTCCACTGTAATCAGTTCCTGTCTCATATATCACAATTGTTATTAGCATGCAGACATACAGTGGCAGAAAAATCGGTGTGTACTTACTTACTTGGAAGTTCTTATCCCATGGGATGGATCATCTGAGTGTTCTGTGGCTCTCTGAAAAGCTGTTGCCAGCCTTTGTGCCTTAAAAGGAATAATTGACATTACTGGTTGCAAATGGATTAATGGAAAGCAATGAAGGAACGGACTGCTTCTTGTTTAATGGCATTGCTTTTGCTTGGAATTTTGCTGCCTCATGGTGTGCAGTTTAAGCAAAGAACCATAGAGGTTTTCATTAAGAAATCTCTACTGATTTTTTTTAGTTGACTAACCTTGCTGCACAGCAGACTTCCCTGTGATTCATATCCACACCTAATTATACAGAGTTCTGGAACAGTGCCTTACACTAGAGGTGCTGGGATGATGGTTCTTGGGAGTCCACCACTAAAACACATACAAATTTTGAGATGGAGCCCTCTCAGAAAGAGAAGATGTCCATCTTTAGTCTCAAACAAGAGCTGAACTCCTAACCCTAGTTCTAAGTCTTAGGCTTAAAGCTTCTTCAGATTATATGTTTTCCAGAAATATATGCAGCACAATATCTCATTTCTTGGTCAGGCATCAGAATAGTCTACTAGACTTCAGACCCTACTTACCCTGTGATTCTGGAGAAGCCATATGTTAAGGTGTTTTGGAGACTGGGAAGTGATTTGAAAGGAACCTTATAAGACAGAGCAAGGTTTATTTCTATACAAAACCCCCACTTGAATATAATAAGGCTTCTAGTGAAGAACCTTGTGGAAGGAGAGGAGAGGAGAGGAGAGGAGAGGAGAGGAGAGGAGAGGAGAGGAGAGGAGAGGAGAGGAGAGGAGAGGAGAGAATTTTATGAAAAATCACACAAAATACTCTTGTTCAGACAAACTGTTCAGAAGAACTGGGAGTGTGGAGCATGCTGCATGGGGATGGGGGAAAACATATAAACAAAACACCTCAAAGAGCTTCCATGCATTGCAAAGTAATCTTTCTTTCCCTTGGCAGCCTCTGTTTGTGTCATAATGCATATCAAAGTCACTCAATGTGCAATGTATATCAGTCAGAAAAATTAACAGTATACAAAACATAACTTCACCCTAAAAGAGTGGTAATAGATCGTACCAGTGACTACACTATGTTTATGATACTTTCAGCCAGGAGATTCAAACACACCCTACTGGATTTTACGCATAGTTAATGAGCAGAAAGAGGCAGACTTTCTGGAGGTGAAGAAGGACACCCGGCGAGTAGATGAGATCAGAGCCATGAAAGAAGCATGGGAGTCTGCGGAGCCAGGGAGAGCTGTCAAGGTAACACCAGAGTGCTCTCTCTGCAGTGATGTTTTTTCATAAGTTCCAGGAGTTGTTGTAATGGTAGAACAGCTGCCACAACAGAAACCAGCTTTCATAGGGCTGTTCTCTTCACCCCTCTGGAAGACAGGAAATTTTACAGTTTAAAGAATTAAATGTGATTATATGCCTGAATTCTGGGTAGGACTCCACATGATCTGCATCAGACTTCTGTAGATCACTGAGACTTTAGATTATACTTTACAAGATATAGAAAAGTTTCTCCTTAGAAAGCCCACTACCTCTACGCATTTGCAAAGTTGCTACTTGTGACAAGTTTAATATTTAGCATGAACAGATTCTATCGAGATATACACTGCTATGAACATGCCAAAAATTATTTCTCCTGAAGATGTGGCACCTGGTCATATCAGTACCCAAATTGTCCCTTACAGCCAGGATTCCAAATTCAGTCTGCATTGCAAGTTTCCTAAGAGCCTGTAACACGCTCAGTATGAATTCACAGTTTTGGAGAAGAAATACTGATCTAGTTGCCAGGTGCATCTGGGTGCTTTTGACGTGACATATGCTTGAATTGGAAAAATAATACATGTTCTTTCTAGCAAAGCAAAAAGTGATTCAGAATTGGAAGCATCGTTACTAAAGAAAAATAAAATAACAAAGTGCAGTCTTCAAACTCACTTGACAGTCATTCCCTATCACCACCAATACCATTGTCCATTAAGGTATGTTCAGCCAGAATCCCCAGCTTAGAAATGTGGGGGTTTTAGTATTACCTTTCAGAAGTGAACCTCAGACATGAGTCTTCCCAGTTACATTCTCAGATTTTCTCAGTTCTTTTCAGTGTGTTCAAAGCTCAAAACTTTTCCTGACACTATTCTATTAAATTCTGAACTAAGCAGAAATGCTGTTCTGCAGCTTTTATTAGTTTTGCTGAGACTGAAAATGCAAGTACAGCCTCCTAAAGGTTAGCTAGAAATTAATCACTTTGATGTGTGAAGACGCTTCAGAGTCTTGTTCTATCACCGTTATCTTTTTTAATCAGAAAATCAACTGAATTGCAACTACTTTTGAAGCTGCTTAGGTTTGTGACTTTTTTTAAAACAGCTGTCATTAAGAAAATTGCAGCAACAACAGAATATGCTAAAACAAGGTCTAAATTGGGGGTAAGCTACCAGGATTAAGTAGCTTCTCCGCTCCTTTCTTCTTGACAACCCTGGCCCAATATATACCTATCCCATGGGTCACAGACTCTCTGACTGAAAATTGAGTGCCTGACTCCAAGCTGACCAAAAGCCAAAGGGCTTCTCTGTCCATTCTGGCAGTGACAGCCCTTAAGAGAATGCCAAGTAAGTCAAAGTCTCCTTCTGAAAAGACAGAAGTGCTGATGTCTGGTTTTGGCATCAAAGATAATTGAGTCTGAAAGGGTTTGCACCCAAAGGTCCCATTTTTCAAGAGGAAGTCTAAATTATCAGGCTGTAGGAGCCCGTAGGAGATGCATTAGCCATACATTCAGCTATACAGCTTTTATTTTATTTTTAATCCCAATACTATTTTAAACTGCCCAGAGATCAGTGATTTCCCAGCATTTCATTGGACAGTGATCTTTAGTGTAAGTGTGCAATGTCTCATGACTGATTCAGTAGGATCCTGGTATCGCTTCTGATTCCAGCACCAGGCAGACTTGCAAACTGCTCTCTGATGTTAGGTCTTACTGAAGACTTACAGAATCCTATTTTTGAAAATGCTTTGAGACTTGAAATATGCTGTAAAAGTTTTGTTATCTGGATTATAAATCTTTTGATCTGTAGGCTTTTCAGGAACGTGTGCGTTTTATTAATAAGTATGCTGTGAGAGACTCAGAGGAACCCATAGCTGGGGCTGAGACTGCCGACTTAACACCTAGCTCAGGAGAAGAAGGTAAGAGAACAACTTTCTGTGTCTTCTGTTTACCATGTTCCACTCCTTAGGAAAGACTTCTGCATTAAATACTGGTAATAGATGGATAGATCAGCCCCGATAAAGGTGTCCAAATGTGCAATGGCAGGCTTGCTCTCTATCCCCTCTTTATTTTAATTGTTTCATTGCTCTATTGCCAGACACAGATACAGCCTCACAGCTCTTGGAGGCTGCTAAGATACTCTTAAGCAAACTTCAGATAGCCCTTCTGTAGTAGAATTCTAACCCTAAATTAATCTGAAATTTTTGGAAGTTTAGTGGAAAATACCTTCTCTCTCAATTCCAAGTACTAGAGTTCATTAGTGTAGAAATGTAGCAGCTAAAATAGCATGTCAGTAAGAGACTAATACACCTAAAGTGCATGTTCATGGAAACTGTTCATGGAGAGTGGTCTGGAAGTGAGGTGTCAAAAAGTGCATACTGAGTAGCATCAGTTTCCTGGAAGCTTCCGTAACTGCTGTCTAGTTTTATTTAGTGATTACAACTTTGATGGATTCTTCATATGTATTCCCTGCCAATTTTTGTACTCTGATGAAAAGTTGAGCTGGATGCAAGGCTTCAAGCTGTTTGTTATTTTTTGGGTTTGTTTTTTTTTTTTTTTTTCTGATTACACTGAGATGAGGCCATCACAAAAAGGAAAGAATGCTTCCCAGTCTGATTGTGACAATATCTGATCATGACTCATGTGCATGGAACTAGAACCTGTGACCAGTACTTAACTATAGATTAATATTTTTCCATCCCAGTAAGTAATCTTCACAGGAAAGATTCAGATTCAGAAATTAAAGTAGAATGAATCCTCACCTAATGCCTTTAACAGTATTGGTTACTTGAAACAATATTGTTTCCTCAAAGTTGCTGGCTGGAGGACTTCAGAATTAATGGTTGTCCACCAAGAGCTTTGTTCTAAACTAAGCATTTAGAGTCTAATGTAATGTCTTAGGAAGTAAAGAATGACACCCCAATGACTTGAAGTTATTGTGGTTCTGTTCCACAGAGTGCAGCATTTGGCAATGATGAGATTGAACATTTCTGTAATATGCAGTATCTTAATGAGGATTTTTGTGTTCTGGAGAATACTGTACTAATGGGCAGTGAATAAGGCACTTCCAAAGATCCAAGTCATCCTATGAGACCATCAGAGAAGGCTGATATATTTGTCTACGTATAGGCAGTAAATATATAAAAAGTAATTATTTTAATGCTCAGAAACCTCTTTCTATTTCTCATGAAAAAAGTCCAGTAATATTTTTAACATAATTCAATTGGTTATTGCTACAAGTAAGGTAATAAAAGAGTTTTGATAAAACTAGTGCAGTCATCATTAAATCTCATCAAATTTCCAGGTTTTTTCAGCACATCGAGACAAATTGAAAGAAGGAAGAAGCATTGAAATAATGACAAAGCAGCTCAGCCCATTGCCATGCTTAATATCAGATGTGTCACTGTACTGCAAGAATGCTACAATAAAACACACCAAGTTTTATCCACTTTATGTTAAAAAAAAAAGTCTAAGATTTCAGAATACCAGTTTTATTATGTTATGGTTTTTCTTTAAATAGGTATTTCTTAAATTAAATCTTCTCCCCAGAGGGAATGTAATTTTTTTAAACTACAGCCAGGAATCTGCAGAATCAGATTTTTACTGATTTTTTTTAAACAGAAGAATATGATACCCAGAAGTTGTTTTTATATCTTTTAGGCACTGCAAAGTCGATGTTTTTGCTTAGATTTACTAACTTTCATGAGCAGAGGGCTTTTAGTTAAAATACACATATTAATTTCCTTATGTGTATATGTGGGTTTTTTATAGCATTTTTTATTCTATCCTAAGTGTTGGAAATAAATGGGCAGAAATATTATACCTCTCCAGCCTCTATTCTCATTTAATAATGTATTTTGCTGAGCCAAAGGAAGAAAAATTGGTATAAAAATTTAGGTGGAGCTCCCTAGGATAACCACATAACCAGTTGAATCTATTTTGTTTTATATTTTCTTACCACAGGAAAGCAATCACCAGAAACAGCTATTGATTCAAGACTGAAAACACAGCAAAAAAAATGGGAGCTTATAGACCTTAGTCCTTACACAAGGTAAACTGCCCTAACATAATAAATGTCAAAGGTGTTGAATCACTGCACTGCATGTAATGAGTATCTGACATAAACATTTGAAGAAAATCAGTGTTTGGGCAAATATGCTTATTTCAGTCTTCTTGAAAGAAGCATCCAAATCCCAGAATATTCTGAGTTGGAAGGGACCCACAAGGATCATCAAGTCCAGCTCTTCAGTGAATGGCCTGTACAGGGATTGATCGCACAAGCTTGGTGTTATCAGCACCACACTCCAACCAACTCAGCCAATCCCAGGGTCATAAAAAATTTGTCAGGATGTTATGCTGGTTTAAAATAACATACTTAATAAATGCAGTTCAGTTAATAATAGTTAACAGCTGAAATAATTGCACTAATTACATCTATTATTCAAAAGAACTATGTTCTTTATTACAAGTGTTGACATGAACTTATGGAGCTAATTTAAATGCACCTCCTTGTTTGCTGTGCTGCAGTTATAACCCATTTCATCCTTAAGTCCATTTATATTCAATGTGGCCTTTTTTCTATTTCATTGATCTTCAAAAGACTTCAAAAATGCTGAAAAATCTGCTCAAATTAAATTTTAAATTCAGAAGGAAATTCATATTATATTGAAGTGAATAGCACTAAAACAGTAAGGCAAAAATATGGCAAGATACCATCCACAAGCTTAAATTTTGTAAGCTCATTTGTCTTCAACTCCTTGACTTTTACACTAGTCATTTAGGACAAAATATAAAAGTATATTATCCACTTACCTGCCATTATGCCAAAAGCAATAAAATCCCTACAAGATAAATTGCATTTGTCTCAATTATAATATCAAAACTTCTGAAAATATATTTCTTACAAATTAAAAGTAAGTGTCACATATAGGAGTTTCTCGTATGCTTGAAGATGATCATGATTTTACAAATAGATTTAAAATAGACACTCAAGTGTAAGAAGACCTGGCCTCAGGAATGTATTTTCTTATTGGTATTATATAGAAGCAGAGGAAAAGTGACTCCTTAATCATATTAGCCATATGATGGTGGTGTTGCCAAATATAAGCCAAATACCTGCATATAGATGCTAAGCAAAACAGACAACAACCAAAACTGCATTTGATATGAGACAAATATCTGTTTTGTATTTCTTTCAGAAAAACATTGCCTGAACCTTTGCTGAGAAATGAGTCTATCATTCAACAGCAACAGATGCGTAATGAAGAAAAATTCAACCATTATAGGCAATTTTGCATGCTGGCTATGGAACAAAGAGAAAAAGAAGAAAATGAGAGAATTTTATTGAAGCAAAATATACTTGAAATGTATGAGAACCTGCAGGTATGTTTTCAAGATTACTTTCCAGTTAACTGGTGCTGTGATGTCCACCACTAGTCTGAGTATCCTGATCAACCATTATCAAAGCTTTTGTATTCAGTACTAGAGATTAGAAGCAACGAACAAGACTGAAATTTCACTTGGGAAAAGGTTAAAACTAAAAGTTCTAAAGTAAAAAAAAAAGTACTGCATGATATCTTTAATATTATATTCTTGGTACTTTGTTGATACACTCTCTGCAAAAAATGTTATTATATCACCATAAAAGGATGGTTATAAGTCAGAAGGAAACTGACCAAAAACTGATATATATGACCAGACGCTTATTAAGTAAAGCATCTCCAGTCTGGTTATTTTTTTGGTTATAGACTTGTATACAGCTTTTTGAAAAGTAATAAAAAAACAATTATACAGGGGGATAAGTTGTTCTTAATGTGTCTCAGAAAAGTTAGAGAATGCAGTTTTCTTGGAATATGCATGATGCCAGCAAATGAAGAATTTATATTATTAAACCTCAAAAAAACCATGTCTATAAATAATAAAGGTGGTAGCATTAGTGTAGGATTCATTGTGAGGATTAACTCAGCCAATGCACTGTACATGAAATTGGCACAAGTATCTTACCAAACTGGCTTAACTGTTGAGCATCAACAGGAAAAAAATCGTTTGTTATAGTGGTGATACAATAACCACTATCAACCAGCTGCTCAATTCAGAGCTCTTAAAACTGGATAAGAAACAGTAAAAATAATTTTACATCAAAACAACCTATTTACAGAAATCTTACTTGAAAGCATCTCCTTAGCTAGTTCCCATACAGTCTCATTTATATTAATCAACTACAGGTCAGCAAGGAGTCACAGTTCTCCAACAGTGGCTGACCCTAATAAGGATGCCAGTCAAGGTTTTAAGATGTTGCTATGATTTTGGATGCCTAACATATTGTATATTATAAGGGCAAATTTTTCACAAGAGTAGATCCTCGACTCTTTCTAGAAAGTATTTCCATTAAAAATGTTTCACAGTACGAATTTAAATCGAGATTCGTTTGTGAATATGCACACTGTGCTGATAAGCTCTTTTGCAGTCCTTCCATCTGTAGACCACAAAGAACTATATACACATTTCCAGGTATCTCCATTTTTCAGGATGGAAATAGAAAGGGAAAAGTTTTCAGAGGTGTCAAAATCCCACTTGCCCCAAGTCTCATTGAAGATCATTATGATTTAGACTCCTTTAGCCTCTTAAAAGGCCACAACTCCTAAGCCATTCCAGCATTTCTAACACCTAGTTTTTAATACACTTGTTTAAGACTGCAAAGCAAACCAGTAACTGAAAAGGAACTAGGTCCAGATAGGTAACTACTCTATTGCCCTATTCTTCTTTCACACAACTAGCTTATTATGCCAGCAGTTTAAAAAGAATTTTCCTGAACTTTCTCTTCTTCATGGTGAAAAGGTTGACATATAGCTGTTTCCTCTGAGAAGTCAATAAACATCCATGTAAAAAGAAAAGCAGAGATGCTCTCCTTGTACTTAGAGAGCCACAAAGTGAAATAGAACAGGAAGGATGCAGTTGCATGTGGTGAAACCAAGACTGATGTGTTGAGCAGGGCAGTATTGCTGTTTGTTTTTGGCTAGGCATCCTTGGATGAAGCACGAGGCAGAGTTTACAGCATTCGGGAAGCATACAGAAATCAGCTGCTGGAGGCCAAGCGTATAAAAGAAGAAGAACTGGCAGCTCAGGAAGCAGCCCTGAAAGCAGATCGAAGGAGAAAGAAAAAATAGTAAAGGTTTAGCAAAAAAAGTGCAGTTGCTATCACTCGTGAATTGTATTTAACAGTTTGGGAAAGAAAGTTCATATGCAAAGATGACAAAGTGTTTATTATTTTCAAGTATTTTTGGCAACTATATCACATTTTATCTCCTTGCTTGTTGCTAGTGAAACACTTTAATATTCTACAAAGCTACTCGCTGCTATTAAAGTTTTTATGCTTTGCTAGAATAACTTTGCAATAAAATTCATATTCCATTAAGGCTCTTCTCCCAAAATCCCAATGTCTTTTGTCTTTTTTTCTTCAATCAAAACAAAACCAGTCAAGAATGAATCAGAGTTGAAACAGTGAATGCAACCTGACAGTTTTGAATGTCATTTGACCTGGTTCCTTAAGTAGATGACAGCTTGTGGAGTGTATCATAATTAAATAGTGGCAAACCACACTTTTCATATGCTGGCACTGGGAGGCTTACCAAAGCCTTATTGAGTAGGCTCACAAGCTTTCTATGTACTGTAATATTTTTCCCTTCCATCATTCTCTTGAAGTGTTTTGGAATCGCACAGTAACTCTCTGCAGTGACAAACTCATGACACAACCTTCCAAGACTTGTTAAACACTCCTTAAAACCCTATTGTTCTCTTTGTTTCTCTTTTCTAAGATGTATTTTGCCCATGTTGTTCAAATGACTAATTACAATAGACTCCCAGCTGGAATTTAAAAATATTTCTTAAAAGTAAACCAGTGTGTGAATGAAGTAGCTATCACAGGCTTTTTATTCAAAGGGCGAAATGTTTCCTCTAAGCTCTTGTTTCCAATATCACAGAATTCCTGTTTGTCATTGTGTCATCAAACACAAAAAAACCCCTAATATCACATGCTGCTTCCCTATCCATCTTTCCCAAAAAACAACTCAGAAGTTATCACTATTACTCAAACACAATTATCTAGACTGTTACAATTGTGATAACTCTCTAGAACAGACAGGTGTTTTAAATCACTTAAAGTATTTTCCATGTATGTAGTCCCAAGCAGAAGCCTGGGAAGTTAGACTAAGTATGCCTTGTATATCTGAAATATGTTGAGGATGTCCAAAAGCATTTCATTATCTAGGCAAGGTAAGAAATTATAAGACTCACCAATTTAATGTAAATCACAAGAATTTTATCCTTTGCATTTCTGGCCACTGGTACTGTCCAGCCATTGTCTTTGAAACTGGCCTCCTCTGCATCTTAATAACCACTATCTTCAGCTTCTTGTGCTTTTGCTCACCTCTGTTTTATCCATACCTCACTATTCGGTTTGAACTTGACTCAGTCTTCTGACAGTTGTTTGATGTGTGTGCTTTGTACCTCATCACCACACCTGCTGCCATGCAAATGCCTCCATTCGGCCTCCTTCCTCCCATACATCATAAACTAAATGAAACTAAATAGCTTGAGTTTTTGTCTTTGAAAAGGAAGAATTGAAACCAGAGGCCTAAAACTGCACTGGTGATTTTTATTTCAAAGAGCAGGAGCTAAGTTTTGCTTTGACCCATACAGCCTGCAAATAAAAAGCCTGTCAGTCTTTTGCTATAATTGGTCTTTGTCCTCTCTATTTTGGAATATGGGATATACTGCTTCATAATATTCCATCTTGTTTCCATGGCAATAGCACGTGTTGGTTTTTTTCTTATGTGAATCTCTAATGAGCTTCTGTAGAGGAAGATCAAGTTGAAGTTCTGTTCTTCATGTCACTGCAAGCACTATAATGACATTCTGTTGCAAAAATCAATCTAGCTCCAAAAGCCAGCATTATCAATATCTAAATGTCAAAAATTCAGCTAATAGCCTTCATGATCACAACCCGTCCCCATGTGTAATCAGCTGTCAACTGACTTAAACTCAGGCACAGTATAGTCAGATCTACATTATCAAATCTTGCTCTGATGTTAAACATAATTCTAAGTTTCATAATTTTCTCATTTTGAAGGGTAATGTGGCATCGTGGAAATCTGCTGTGTGATTTGTGAATGTCTTGATTGGCTCTTTTATCATTTCAACAACACAGATATGATGAAGGTGTGAATAACTGTCACACTGTTTAATTGCGTGTACTTTGGAGTGTGTAATGTTTTAAGAGAAGCACAGTAACAGTTTTACTAAATCCCTATGCATATTCCAGAAGAAGAAAATATTCACTTACCTTAATGGAGCCTGGAAGAGAAAATGCCTTGTTTCGATTGTGTCAAAGAATTTACATACATTGGACCAGAAACAGATGACTGATGACATTTCATATGCATCAGTTTTACACCAACAAAACAGCTCTTTTACATGGTGCACTATATTGCAGGCTAAGTTAGTGGGGAAAGATGTACAAAAACTAGAACAAAGCTATTTCAAAACAGCCATTTGCAGTAAGTTAAAGAGCCATTGTGTGTAGCACTTTACTATAAGGAAGACAAGAATGGTATGTTGTGTTTTAATTGATAGGATTTTTGCCTCAAGTTTGTAGACCAGGCTGCTCAATAGTCAAATTATGTGTTCACATGGGTAAAACATGTTTATTCTTTTGCCCTATAGGAGTAACACAACTTTTAGGCACCATAACTTTACAACATTTACTGTAATGAAAGTACTGGAATTTGCATAGTCATGAGTCCTGCTTATACTTAGCTCAGCCATACTGGGCGAGATTCAGTAGGGGCATAAGGACAAGCTTGAAATTATGTGCATTCTTACTCAGTGAAGAGCTTCAGCAAAGGACTGACACATGGAATCAAGCCCTTTACAGAACAGAACAGAACAGATAGGGCAGGCTTTTCTGGATCAACACACGATTGCCTGATCTTCCAAGATGACACTAATTTTGGAGGTGCAGTAGCAGAATGGCTGCATCAAAGCCTACTATACCAGGTATCTGGTGGCATCACACCACAGAAGAGGTTTGAAGGAGTGGGAGTAGGGACCTTCTACCATTTCTTACAGAAAATCCTCTCTGTGAATGTTGGCACAATTTGTCACTTACACAGCTTCTCATTTTTTCTTCATTAAAAGACTGTGTAAGAAAAACAGTATATATATTTATGTTGATCTTAAAAAGTTGCAGTTTAACTGTAATTCTTCTCCCCTGAAATTTCAAGTCTGACTCCTGAAGAAGAGTCTGGCAGCCATTTTTTTTACATAGATAAAGAGAATTTGGTAATTCAGCAGTTCAAAAGTCCTGATCTGTGTCTGGCAGAAGATTGTGTGCTTCTTAGAGACACTCTCCAATATATTGGTAAGATTTTATTTTTATTTTTTTGTGATTCCCCCACATCTTTAAGTACCTTCAACTCATTAATAAAATACAAAGCTGATTCTACTCTCTGCACTTCAAACACTATTGAAGATTTGTTAGTATGTATCAAGAAGAAGCAATTTCAAGAAGCAGCACAGTGGCATGTGAGAGACAAGCCTGGTTTTCTTCCTGTGAACTAGCTATGCAGTTGGAAATACCTGGTGAGCTCAGAGTTTAGAGTAATAGTGGAAATGTTTTGCAAATATACTTGGTGATTGGCTGGAATTTTGAATATTGATTTAGAATTTTATTAGAGCAGAGGGAATCTTTCAGCATATCATTATGGTTGAGCTGCATTTTTTTGTGTGGTAAGAGTAGTTGTTTATTGTACTCTTCCCTGACACTCATTTCTCTTTCACCTGAAATGTAGCCAGTTATACAAAGGAAAAATGTTACTATTCAGTAGAAATTTGTAAAAGTTCAGATGGAAACTGCAAAAGTCACAAGAGAATGAAAATATGTTAGATGTCATTGTGAGTAATCCCTAAAGAATTTATCAGAGTTTGATTTCTTTACTTCTACATTTTAAGAAAAATGGTAGATTCACAGTGTGGTGCAGGTACCTGAGAAAGAAAATAAGGCTTTGACCTGATAATTCAGTTTAATGGGGATTAAGTTCATAAGGATTTATTCACTTCTGATAATTCTTTGTAGGTGTGTTCTGCTAAGCTTTAGCAGTTTTCACTGCTTGATCCTTTTCTTTTGACCAGCTATTCTGAATTAAAAAGGATCTTTTCCATTAAAATATGTATCTACAGTTACTTTTAAATGCAAGTAGCTTCATTAATCTTCATATTACTTGTCCCATCTGCTTTGCTTTAATTTGGCTGGCATTTACAAAGTGAGTTACAGACCAAAAAGCAGACCAAGCCTGTTCCATGTTACCTCGCTACTGAGACAAGCAATGTGCTGTGAAACCAGGCTCGGTTCTGAGCTGCCAGTCTGCTCACCCTGGCAAAGTGCAATTTACCCACTCTGTAAGGGCTCATTTTAATTCAAGGAAGACAGAATTTATGCACATGCACAGCATTTCCCCTCCAAAAGGCAAGAAAAGTGTCTACCTATTTTGTCTGGCAGAAAACACAAGAGAACAGCTTTGCATAATCACATGGCAGTTTGCAGAATGAAGAAATCTCACTCTCAGAGCCGTTTTTTCCTCTCATTCTGTTCTTGAATTAGTCCTAATAGATTCAGAGTCCAGGTCATACTTCAATGATTTCAATATTCTTGTTTGCAGAAAAACAAGATGCTGTTGTCCTCCATCTCAAAAGAGGACAAAGAGAGTTGAGAAGTAGGAAGCCAGGAAAAGAAAGAAAACAGTTTGCCTTGTATGAGGTGAGACAACAGCACAAAAGGAAGGTGCAGTGAAGATGTCACTAGCCACAACAAGAAAAAATATTGGATGGAGGGGATGGGGGGACATTGTTAGATAGGACTCAGGAACTTTGATCTGTGTGGCATCAAGAATGTGGTTAGGGTCAGTTGTTCAGGGACTGGCAGGCTATTCTGAAAATGAGATAATGTCCAAGCCCAGGTGTAGCCAGGACATGTCACTTTGGGTCAGATCTCAGGGCACACTTCTCTCTGAAATCTGAGCTTCCCTGCCCAACACATGGCTTTCCCTCAAAGGGCAAGCCCCAAAATGCTCACACTTCTGTGGGTAGATGCGAGGTGCTTCCTTGCACATGG